CTCTGCGCTGAAAGAATACGGGGATTGACTGGCAGTGCCCGGCAGCTCTCAGCAGCTAGTAATTTTATTACAGGCTTTCATAAGTTCGGTCACCCCGGCTATAAAATAAAGTCCCAATTCTCCGGCCCCAGCAACCCATTAACCTCGGACAACCCATTGCCTCGGACCAATTTATTTACCTCCAATGATGGCCTAAACTTTTTAACTGACAGAGCCAAACTTTTTAAGAAAACGCCCAGCAACTTTTTTTTTAGTAAAGTTCCGATTTCGGAGACCCCGGCCACGAATATAAGGCCTATGCATCCGGTACCGGAGACCCGGCAGGAAGTGGTTAATGTGCGTTGCCGTGCATGCCTGAATATATTTCTATTGTGAAAGGTAACACATTTGGGGACTGGTCTTGGAAAACATTGGCATTTCACGAGAGGTCTAATTTTCATAAACTTGGTGTTAAAATGATCAAAAGGCATTACAAGAGAAACTCATGATGGCTCAGCGTGATCAAAATACACTGTGCTGATATCAGGGAGAACGTCAAGTCAGGCTTCCCCTGCAACCTGGCTCTATCAGGGTTGATTTCCTGTGTGACTACTCACCTCTTGCTGAGCGCTGATTGTGTCTAACTGCTTGGCGTCTCTGAGGAACACCTGCTGCTCAGCCACCTGCTCCAGCCGGTCCTTCTTGGCCTGCCAGCTGCTGTGCAGCTGCTCCCTGGCCTGCAGCGCTGCATCGAGCTTCTCTTGAATCTACTCAATCAAAACAAACATGCATGGATGGGGCAAAGTCTTTCAACTACTTCAATGTGCATCTGAACAAATCACTACTTGAAGGTACATGTAGAATGGAAGGCAGGATTTGCTATTCGCACATGTTCCTTGTTTGAGGTGACAAACTTGGATAAGAATCTTTTGCTAGGTACTCAATCTGGTGAAATTCAAGTCTGACGACTGTGTACATTTTGAGAAGTCCCACAATATTTCTTGGTCTCGTCTTGGTTTTTGTGGCTTGGTTCAGAGCTTCCTGTCTCACATTTTGAATTGAACCACCTACAAAATAGAATGCAGGACATACATGAATCTCTGTCCAACAGGGCGTTTACAACTTTGGAAGACGCACACTCACCTTGGGTTGTGTAAGTTGCATCTCGTAAGATTCATGAAAATTTCCCCCAAATGTGTTGCTTTCAACATCCTTAAAAAAATATCTGTTTTTTTTTCATTTTCGTTAAAAAGGCAGCAAGCCACATGAAATAACTTCACAGGGAGCTGGTACCATAGCTATCTTTACCTCATTGCAATTTTAGCATTTTTTTTTTGGTCATTTAATTTTTTTCACACGACAGAAAAATGGTTCAATTCTCAGCTTGTAACCACGTCAACAACACACACTTCTACCAGTTGAAAATTGACTGTCACACAGCACTCGGTTGGCATGCCACAAAAACAGCTTTCAGAACTGACTACTGAACGATTTGCTGTTTTGAGGGCTTGTGTGACATTCAACCCTCTAGTACAAGAATGTAAAACCAAAAATAAAAAATGCACAGAATCTCTTGGAAGTTGTTTATTACCTCCCGTTCATTTGTAAATGTAGACTACAAACCCAATGGACAACCTGTGGCTACAACATCACACCTTTTGCCATGTTCTCACATTTCAACCCTGCACCCACAGGAATCCTGAATTCTGTACCTAATGGAACTGTATCTAGCACCATTTGTGGAAGTCTGTGTCATGACATACCTCCTCGCTGGCATAGTGCTGCTGCTTGATCAGCATCTGGCCTGCCTCCACCAAGGAGGCAAAGTTCTCCTCCCGAGCGTCAATCTCGGCGCGGACCTGCGCATGCTGGCTGAGCGCCGCTGAGGCGCTGGCCACGTCCCGTATGGGCTCCTCTGTCATCATCTCTGTCATAGTCTCGTTGGTCCAGCTGATCAGGTCACGACACTGCAAGTGTAGGCAGGGATTTAACAGCATTTTGTGGTTAGGTGATGCTGACAAATACAAACTACTGGGACATTTCAAGGTTTTTTGAAAACCTAACAAAGCTTGAGTTCACTTGAAAATGGCTATGATTCCCTAGCAACTGTTTTTTCTTGCAGGGGGAGTCAAATTGCAAAAATGTACCAATACATGACTGAACTATTCTTGTTCTAAGATCAAAGGGTTCCACTCATGTAAAGTGCCTTTTAAGCCCAGCGTTTGACACAGTCACCTGATCAAAGCCAGAGGAATTTCTGTATATTCCCAAAACTGGCCACAATTTCTGATCCAGTTTCAGTGATTTCCCGGTACTGTCATCAATATCCATAAATATCTGAAGTGTATAAATTACTTCTCTGTGCACAGTTCTCCCATGTATTGCAATTCAAAAGAGAAAACCAAAAGTTGTCAATCTTTCTGGTTTGCATTTTGATCTCCAAATCTGCACATCTTTGATTGTGCCGAAAATTTAAAAACCAGCAGAGGTGTGCATGCTACATCTAAAAATAGAAGAGGCACCCAAAGTATTTTTTCCGTCTTTGTTTTCATTGGTGACAGCCAGCTGCTGTGATAACTATTACTGTAGGGAACTACGGTATTGGAGAAAACCCACCTAGGGTGTAACCCATAAAAAGTCCTACTATGGGGTCAAAACTTCACAAGTTGGAGAAAATTTAATGTAAAGCAAGGGCTGATTTGGCCAGGGGGGAGGGTGCAATTTCTAGAAACTGGAGCCCCAACTTCCAGCAAAGGAAGGCACGTTCGCACGTGAAAAGCAGATTTCCCCAGGTGCACGTACAGTATTTGCTATTTTGCTTTTCGATCATCGTGTATCAAAAACCCACATACATGTAGGTTAACCTTAATAAAATGATGCACTGCTGATTGGTTTACAAAATAAAGATTTGAACACCTCAAGCGGAACTCCCTTCTGCTGGTGGTGGGGGGCCATCCCCCCACCTAAGCCCTTGTAAAGTTGTGTCTTGATGTGAACTTATGGTTAAAACTAGGTACCAAGGCCAGAGTAGATTTTTCCAAGCACGTGACTGACCTGGTCTTGCTCAATTAGTCTAGCTGAATAAGTTGCAGCACCATCAGCAGCAGACCCCTAATGATGCCTAGGCCTCGATTATCAAGTTGTGAATACTGCCAGCAGATTAACTACCTCAAAAATACCAGTTCCCTCAATGATGAGGGGAAATGTACTTCATCTTGGGCCATTCAACCATATTGTTTGGCTCATGTTACAACAAGCGAGAGTTTGCATTTTGTATTAAAAATCACAGAGGGTGAAAATAACATTAACAAATACTCTCAATAACTAAACACTTTTACTGTCCCAATATGTAGCCTGATCATGATGAGCAGCTACAGGGTGGAAATCCACCTTCCCCTCCACACAAACCCAGAGTAACTTACAGTTGCCAACAGACGCTGCCAGTCATTTGCTGCCTGGAGTAGCTCTCTCCTCTGTGTGGCATGCTCCTGCAGCGTGTTCCAGTTGGTGACGATGACCTGCTGCTGTTCGACGATCTGCTCAGCATTTCCTGTCCAGAAGGAAAAAAAACTGCATGCTGTAGCTCGGGCAGTTTCCAGTCGCAGTGTACTGCTTCACTGCGCAAGAGGCATGGGGGGATCAGACTAAACAGCAGCCAGTGGCTAACGTGCATCTGTAGATTCTAACGATGATTCAGAATCATGGTATATCTGCTTGGTCTGTGCCAATCGGTTCGTGTACGCATACTGCTGTGTGCCTATCGTGAACGTATACAATACAAGACCACGTATGCATGGCATGCACATGCATGGCTCGCAAATGTCTCCATCTTCAAAATTATTAACCTTTGGCCTTCAGAATACAGTTGTCCGGGATGTTTTTTATCAGTCTCTTGAATTTGGCTGCGAGTCCAGAGAAACAAACAACAGCCTGAATCTGAACTAGATTGAGCCCACCGTACAGCCCTAGAACCATCACTGTCAGTTTCCTCTTCGGTATCTACATGCCTTCAGCTTGAGTACTTTGGTCATTAATCCTTACTTGGGTTTCATGCCGTAACTGGGACCTTACCTCCTGGGTACTCCTCCTGGAGTTTGGCAGCATCGTTGACCAGGTTTTGCAGATGGCCTTCCATGGCCAGCAGGTCATTCTCAAATGTCTCGTGCTTGCGTATCAGGGACTGGACTGAGATGATATCTTTGCCCAGATCCTCCGGCATGGAGTGGTACTTTTCCTACAAATGGAACCAGGCACAAAGAGAACCTACAGGCTACTGGTAATGCGAAGAAGAGTGGACAACTTGCAGCATTTAGGCTAAAAGACTTCAAGAATTTGTCACAAGTCAAGCACTTGTGTCCTCAAAACGTCCTGTTTTGTTATCCTTGGCACAATTTCAAAACAAAAGTAAGCAAATATTTAAATGGAAAGCTTCAACAATACCTCACTATTGTTTCCAACCTTTCTAAAAAAAATTTTTTTCTAAAAAAAAAACTCTAACAGCAACACATCTGACTGATGTTCTATTCACAATTTATTTCTTCTCAGTTAACTTTTCTGCTTCTGCAATCTCTATCCATGTAAAGCATTAGGAGATATATTTGGAGAACACCGTGTCAAGAATAGGTATGCTATGCTTGACTCCACTCAAACATTACGACTCGCACTCAGAAGCAATGGACTTGAGCACAACGATGGAACTGGGTACTCAAAGCTATGGCTGGCTGCATCTCCCACCCTAGCTCTAGGCACAAGACTTAGATGCAGCCTTAACCCCTTCGCGCTGGGAAGCGGTAAGAGCCGCCGTAAAAAATGAGATCCCTCAGCCTGCTTTTCAGCAATTATTCTCGGCCGATGCTCGAGCAAACACGGTGAAAGAAAGCATACCCTGGCTCTTGTATATATGTGTTGCCAAAAAATGAAAAGGTCGAATTTGCGTCATAATCAGCAGCTTCACAATAGTCCCAACTTTGAAAAGAATATTGGAAGCGTGAATAGAGCCGCATGCCACTGAACAATGAGCCTTTTCACTGGGTAAATCGAAGCGTGCAGAGCATGCAGGGCCACAAACTGAGAATTTGCAGTTTGGCAGGTGGCCTTTGTGGCCAAGTGAGGCTGGAATTCTCGGAGTCGGCTTTCAGAAAAAAGTCCCGGCGTCAAGGGGTTAAGTGAGGCCACCTCCCTCTCCTGTCCCTCCCACCTGTATCCTGGACATGGAGTCCTCAAAGTCGCGGTTGAATTTGTGGATCTGTCCAGCCGCCTCCAGTTTCTGAGTGCGCTCCTGGACCTGACCACGTAGCATCTCCAGGGCTTGCCTGCAAAACAAGTGAACCATTTGGAATGTTTGGTTTGACCGCTGTGGAGGGCAAAACCTGAAATTATTGAAATACTGTATGCAGCATACTGGTGCGAACAGTCAACGTTGATTTAGGGCCATCTTCCAATTTGAACCAGCCAGTAGACTCAAAAAGCTTATTCCATCACTCACCATACTCACTTCCGAGCTCACTTATTCTGCCTCCCTCCCATCAAATCAATATCCAACCCATCCCATCAAATCTTCACCACCACCATCTACCCCTGAAATCCCAACTCTACCCACCTAGTCCATATCTACTCATCCCACCAAATTCCTACCTTACTACTAAGGAAACCCCAAACCTAGCCCACCTAGTAACCATGCCATCCCAATAACTACCAACCCACCACACCCTATCAAGCCAAACCCATTTTTAGTTTATTCCCCACCCTGGCCAACCCCACACTACTACCCGACAAATCCCAACCTATCCCACCTACACATAATGCCAACCCCATCCCACCACAACCTAACCGAACCCCACCAAATGTCCATTCCATCCCACCCTACCTCACCTCAACTTTCCAAACCCCATCCCGACAAATCCCCCAAACAGGCATTGTGTTGGTGATGAGAACTAAAACATAACAGTTGCAATACAAAACTAATATTTCTTGGAGTTCAAAGTCCTCGTTAACCCCCCAAAAGTACAACAGACACTTCACACCAATGAACCCGCATTAGGTTTTAGAACATATATATGTAGAAACCAAAGACACATGTTTCCTTTTATAACCCACTGGCAAAACAACTTTTAACCACTTCATGCCGAGGCATTTTTCAATGTTGATGATGCTGGGCCGGCAGGACCATCATTTTTTCCGTTTTCAAAATCCTTCAAAAATTTATCATTTCATTTAACGGTCGTTTATAGCTGCACGAAGTAATCTTTAGGCACTACTCTAAGTTGACAGGTGACCTTCATTGACGTCCGAGTATTTCAACTAGGCCTGCAGCCTTGTAAACAGAGCCCAGATTGTGCGGTGTTATGTAACTTTCTTTTGTTCATGAACCTGGCCCAGTGCACTGCTGACCTCTTTTCAATAGGGGCCAGATTAGCGTGTAGCGGTGCTGTGTGGCTCATCACTGCGGTGGTGGAGCGCTTTATCCCCGGTGGTAATCCGCTCGCTCTCAATGTCCCAAACCCTGGTATACGGTTTCGAAACAAAGCTGCATTATCGCCCCTTTTTAGAGTGAAAAATGTCGGTAATGCCCAACAGCCTGGTCTTTTGTCCAGAGTACGGTCTTCTGTTACAGGGCCCTGTTTCCTTTGTGAGAGTTCAGAGACGCCGGCCATGCGTATAAACCGTATGTCTCCGATTCCGGAGTCCCCGGCAGGAAGTGGTTAACGTGTTAAGGTGAACGCACACACCCTGATGTCTGGACAGCTAGATGGATGGAAATTGGTACTACATAGAATCGCATTTGAATCACAGCTTGCCAAAAAGAGGGACCACTGTTGACAAAGACTGGTGCTTAACTTGTGTGCAAATCCCTGGAGTTTCTCCTTTTAAGGTAAATTTCTTACTTCAGGCTGTCTTGCTTCTCTTGTATGGTGTCAGCCAGTGGATGCTTGTCTTGGATCAGCCTCTGGGCCTGATCTTCGCACTGTTTAAATTTGTCGTTGCCTGTGTCAATCCGACGTTGGAATTCATCGTGTTTGTTTTTCAGCCTCTGCAAAAACCAAGAAAGTCTTGTCAACGAATGTACACCCTGCTGGGCAATACTCATTGCAATTACAAATCTCTGACTTAACGAGTGTAAGTCTTTTCATTTCCCACCTACACGTATTCAATTCAAGAATTCACGTATTTTGCAGGAACCACTGGTTTTCCGCAAGGGTACAGTGTTAAACTGGTGATGGTTGGTTTCCTACACAAACGCACTGCTGTGCCACCGAGAAATGAGGGCCAGTTCAGACTGCAGGCAACCACAAGCGCAAAGTGAACTCGCCATCACAAGACTTTGGCAACAAAATTAGCTTGAGCTGAAATGTGTTGAATGTTTGCTAATTACTGCACAAATAGTTAATCTGTCGTCACAATATTTTGCATTTGTGCTGTTTCACGGCAAGCATCAACCACATGAAATTATTTGTGAACTTGCAGAGATTATGCAACAGAGTTCATAATCATCGGTTAGTTTGTTTACTTTTTTCATTAATAAGCCAGGTAAATAAACATTCATTATATGGATCACTTGGAAAATTTAGCTGAAACTAATAATTCACCTAATATGTTGGGGCTGTGCTGTAAATGGTTAACGGAATAAGTACCATTAACTTTACAAAATAAATTGTTTGGGAAGTTAATTCCCCTCAAAGGAAAAAAATGAGGAGAAGATCCCCACAGTGTCTTTAGAAATATGAGTGACTCTTTCAAAAATGACATGTAAGTAATGCAACAAGAAGCACTGGCCAAATATGCATGTTTATGTTTGCGTAAGTAAAGTCCCCCAAAATTTCAATTTATGAAAAACGTACGTGCCCTTTTTACCTCTAAGTGTTCCAGGTCTTCACCAAATTCCTCGGAGCTCGCAGCCTGGTACTGCACCTCTATCCACTCCCCCAGCTCGTCACTCTCACGGACGTACTCGTGCAGGAGTTTGGCTCCTTCCAGCTCCTTGGCCCTCTCCGCCACTGCATCCTGCAGACTCTTCAACCTCTTCTGGAGGTTCTCCTGACAACAAAAGAAATGTCCAAAATTGTGAAGAATATTTCCACCTGTGACCTTACACACACGAGAGGCAGATGACATCTCACTAGAATCCAATTTGGCCATCTTGTGTCATACCATCTTTTTGAGGGCCTGGCCTTTGATCCTATCATCAGAATCTTTCGCAAGGAACTTCCCCCGTGGTTCTCTTCAGAGCCTCACAGACTCCCAATGGAGATTCTGTAAATGGTGCTACTGCAAACTTCTGTTCCCATGCAAACCTTCAAGTCTTATCCGCCTCGCACGGAAGCACCCCCTCATCGGTTGAACAGAGCCGTGTTGGTCAGGAGTATTCATTTTGTTGATAGCGAGGCGACAGCAACACTTGCGTTTCCTAGTCTTTTGTGAACCAGCGATGCGCAGTTAGTACCAAAGAAGGCTCAGTTGCTAAGGAAATAGCGCCCTCTCTTGGTCCAGCCCGAGGCCCCAAAAGTACAAGGACAGATTAGGGAAAGTTGGGATTAAACCTACACTTTGCATCGAGAAAACTCTATTTCAGTGTGGAAGTAATGGTGCTTCCTCTGCAGGGTTTGCACACACTCAAAGAAAACTGAACAGTTGAATTTTAAGTACCAGTCAATCAGAGACAATTCAACTGAAGTGGAACTACAGGGATCAATTTCACAGAGTGGCTTTACTCAGAATGTGCTGAGCACAGCCGGAATGTGATAGCAACAAAAAGTTTGTAGACAAAAAAGTTGGGGTCTGCACACTGCGTGTGACAGTTGCTCTGCTTTCTTTCGCTGAACATATGACTCTATTGAGCACAAACTTCTACCAAGCAGCTTTGTGAAATTGGATTCTCATGTTTTCCAGGGTTGTGACTAACCTGTCTTGCCATCAGCTCTTCTCCATGTGGGTTGCTGCTGGCCACCATCGCCTTCGCTTTATCCTCAAGCTCTTTCAGCACACTGTGGTAGTTTTCTACATCTAGCTTTAAGGCCTACAGAGGAAAAGATGCCAAGCAACTGAAATTCACACTTTGTAGGCCCAAATGAAAGGCCCCAAGATGAATACAGAGTTTGGAAGCTTTGTATTAATATTAGCTCTGGTACCCTAGGGATTTTTTTTATTAATTTATTTATTTGATTTATTATTTCTGTCCATCCAACAACGCATTCAGTGCCAATCACAAATGAAGTGACCATTTAAGAAGACAATGAAGAAATGTTTAGATTTAGAGGGGGGGGGGAAAGCCCCGGATAAATATTCCAGAGAAAAACCACGGCATCAGGCAGGGACTGGAAACCCAATCCACATGCTGATCTAAGTGGGATTTGAACCCAAAGCGCAGAGGTGGACGGCGAGGAAAGAGCCGCAAAATGAAATACAACAGCTTGGAAGTCCATTTATTTGGTATAATGTTGGTTTGACATCCACAGCATGCACTGCTTGCTGGATATGAACCCCTTTGGTTGTATTTAAGAAGTTACAATAGGGCCATGGAGAAAACAGACAAGGTTGCCTGCAGGGGGGTAGATTATCTTGACATGACTTTCACCAACATGTTGACTTCATTCTGCCATGTTCATCATAACTATGCATCCATTCCCCCAAAACCCCTGTGCATACAACACTGTTTAAAATGTCAGAAAAGCGTTCAAGATATTTCCATCTTCTCAATGTAAGGGCAATACATCTACATGCAAGTCCACAGAAAATGTCAAAGCCTACTTTGTAAACTAGTGTGTCTCCCAAACTTTCAGAGAAATATCAGGTTTTTAAAATGTGGAAAAATCTGGGAAAAAGTATATAACACTAGTTGCATATTCTAGAGTGTTGGTTGAATAACGCACATCTACACTGTAATCTGCTTAATTCAACTTCTTTTGCCCTTTGTTTGGATTGTACACGTGATTTATTTATAATTTCCAATAATTATATCATAATTCATTTTATGATGTATAATTTTAAACATATCTTGTATTTCAGTGTATTCAGCAATTTTCGTGCATGTTAAATCAACCTAAGATCCATATGCTTAGTTGCTTATTCATTTTGTACAATGCATATTACATGAACTTTTCATTTTATAAATTCTGTAATTGTTATTCCTTTGGGTTTGGACCAAATCAAATTGGTCACCATTTTGTACAGTCATTAATGGCAGACCATAGGCCAAGACACAGTCTTAGAGTCTTTGTGAGTCCCAACCTTATTCCTGGCCAGGAGCTTCTGAGTTGCATCCTCGCTGTTGCCGTAGTCTATGCTTGTTGCTAAGCTCATCTTCTCCCCAATCCAGCTCTCTGCTTCATCGGCCTCTGCAAAATACTGTAAAACAACATTGGTATGCCATAACGTCACCAAGTAAGCTCCTAGAATCAGTTAGTTCTGGTAACATGCAGTGTTTTACCATTCCAAATACAGTAAAATTTGGATAAGTCGAAGCCTGTTAAGTCGAAACTTCGTTTACCTCAACGTCTTTCTGTATTCCCAACAAAAGAATAGGCCTTTATGTACAATAAACTATCAGTAACTCAAAACGTCAATACCACTTAAGCCGCTGTCGCGCACGGCTTTTCTTTGATGAGCCAAGCATGTTCACACGGGCTGCCATTGCACTGGGTGGGCTTCAACCATAAACGTAAAATAAATCAGGCACGAATGATGCGCCCTCAAGCGCTCAAAAAGGAATTACGTTTTGTACATGTATCACGTGACCCAGCACAGAAACCCTGACCGATTGGCCTGCACGGCTGCGTTCTGCGGTAACAGCCCGATCAAGCAAAGCAAATGAATGAATTCTCAAGATGTAAAAACACAGGCACCGGTACATAACTTCATTGGTTTATTGTTTATTAATGTACCACATAAAAACATGATTAACGATGATGTTTGAGGAAAACTTGCACAGTAGGGATAGCCCAAAATCCACTTCGTGTTCATTTCAGCTTGCAGGCCAACTGCCGTAGAGCCAGTAAGATTGCATGTGCACTGAAGAATGTAACTGTCAATAACTCGAACGTCAGGCAACTCAAACTTTTCGTCCATTCCCCTGAGCTTCGACTTATCGAGGTTTTACTGTACTTCACATCTGGACACTTTTAAACAATAAAGCATTGGTAAAATAGTGAGCCTACAAAGAAAATCCTGTGACTGAGTACTTAGCCATGTTGACTTAGAGGGAGAGTGCCTAGATTGCATTCGTTCCAAAACGGCATGCAGCCCATGTGGAATAGCCAATGTAGTTCAGTGAAATCAACTGGCATTCACTTGCCATCGTGGTCCAGGTGCAACATACGCTCCTGGAGCACACCAGGAACAAATGGTTTCAGTACACTTTGTAAACAAATGAGAAGACAGCACTTTGTGTACTTGCAATGACACTTGCTGGACCAACAGATGGCACGCATTTGTCTAGGCGCATTCAGCACACAAGTACGTGCAATCTGAATGTGCACAACCATCACTTTGTCTCCACCTGGGCATCAGGGCAGGCTAACCATATTAAAATCAGCTCAAGACTCTGATAGACCGCTTCATCACAACCATCTAGCTTGGAGAAAGAAGAAAGACCGACAACAAAAACCTGATGGCTGGACAACGCGCACAGACAGCTCTAAGACTGGTTTACTTGGATGTAAGGCATCACTGTGTCAGCTCAGCCTGCCTGGTACTCCGTGCACACCCAATACACACCTGCTGTGCTTCAAAGGCCATGTGCAGCCTCCTCTCCCTCTCCTCAGCTGCATCAAACAGCCGCCCCCAGGCCACAGAGAGCTCCTGACAGTTCTCTTGGGTGGTGGCTGCGGCAAAGTGGCCGCTGTCAATCAGGGCTTGCCCGGCCTGGATGACCTTGTCAATCACAGGTTGGTGGCCGGTCAGCTCTGCCCTCAATTTCTAGAGAAGAGAAATTCAGGGAAAGAGAGAAAGAAAGCAAAAAATAAAAAAGAGCTACTGTGAAATAAGACTGTCCAAACCGTTGCTAATGAATGAAATGGTACATTATGTACATTATGTATGATCAAGCAAATTTGGAGGTTGATTGAGACAACTTCCATCCCTATCACACACAAAAAATCTCAAAAGTGTTTAAACATGTTTTCATTTGCAATGACACTACATTAGGGAGCTGAGTCTGCCTGTGTCGAGTCTTAAACCTGAAAACAATCTCTTTCCAATCAACAGAAGCAAAACAAACCTTGCCTCATGACAAGATTGGAAGATTGCAATGAAATGAATATCACGAGAAGTCCTTAGCTCTCTGATACCACAGAAGTAAAGGTGTACAACAGACTTGCCCGAGTATTCCAAGGACAGCCTTTGAAATACACCTCAAAATGCCATTATGGAGACAAAAGCCCGCACAATGAGTACAAGTTATCCAACTTTTTTATTCTGGTACATCTTTTGTAGCTGGGACGACTCGTAAAAATGTTCAGGTGAAATGGTAGAAAAGCTTGAAAATCAAGAACAGGTTAAAAAAAATGTGATAAGAAACACTACTTAATCTCTTTAAAATGCACTTACATGTACCTGTGCCCGTGAAAAGTTCTGTAAATAATAGTTTGAGTCAATAAATACCCAACAATTCTGAGACATTCCTGACAAGTTGATAGCGATGAGTACTCCGATGGACAGTTATGTCTTGATCATTTTTTCCTAACATGACCAGGGTAAAGCCCCTAAGAGCCCTGGGGAAGAATACATGTAGTGAAAAAATTGGTCAATTTTAGAGATGAGCGGAGAATCATACTTTAAAAATTCCAGGGAAACCCATGGATTCAGGTAGGGACTATAAACCCAATCCACATGTCCGCCAGGGCGAAATTTAAACGCAGGTCGCAGGGGCGGGAGGCGAAGAGGGTATCCACTGTCACAGCTTGACTGGCTGAGGCTGAGAACAGCTGTTTGGCACCAACCTTGTGTTTCTGCAGGTGACTCTGGCATGCCGTGAACGTCTTGCCGTAGTCGGTGGAGCTGGCGGCAGGGAGATGCTCCTTGATCCACTGTGCCTCGCTGTTGACGTCGTGCAGGAAGACTTGCAGCTTGTGGGAATCTGCCAGGATGGACCGCCGTCTCTCGGAGGGTTGACCAAGCTGGGCAAACCTGTCCAGAAAATAAAGAAATCTTCATCACTGGTCTGGTCTTTGACTTGTGGTTCCTAAAAGTAATATAAAACGGTATGCAAATAAATGCAGCGTGGGAAATACTGTATACCTCACCTTAAAGTTTTTTTTCCCAAAACAATTCAGGACAGTGTGATTTCCAATGAAGATTTCAACCAATAAATAAACCTTTCATTAAGTAATCAATAACCCTCAAGAAACACAAAGTCAGAGCTACATGTACATCAGCAATAAGCTGTTGATGCATTTTGTTGTTAACAACCACCGTTTATTGGAAATGGAAGTAGAAAGGGGGCTTTTATTTGGAAATGGCACTGTGGTAGTGTTACCCCTCGGAGGCCTTAAGCAGTAGAAAAAGCCCCCTGGAAATGGTGGCAGAAAGACAGACCTCCATTTGAACACTATACAAGACACAGCAAATCAATTTACATGAACTTGAAGAACCTATAATACAGGTTGTCTTTAAAAAAAAAGAAACCAAGATAAATTTCTTTGTTTCTTGAATGGGACCGATTATTTTGGGAAATGGTAACCATCACCTGTTTCATTATAAAGTCCTCTTTCCTATGAAAGAAGTACAACTTTCAGAAATGGCTTTGTACTAAATAGCTGTTTTGCTGTTGAATTCATACTGTTCAGCAATGGCTGTTTTGTCAGAATTAAGCAATATTTTCTGGAATCTTAAAAATTTACAGTTTACGGACATGGCAGCTTTAATTCAACTGGAAACTTGCTTTAATGACATTGAGAGCTGCAAACAAACAGACGCACTTCACCCGCACTTCCAGAACAGGGTCACAGGTTCTTACCTATCAGTGACAGCGGCTGTCTCTATGGCGATTCTCTCGGCATCAAAGTGACCCTCCTCCGTTAGCAGATGAGCTTGCTCTACAATGTGAGCTATCTTGTCGGCCTGTACTGCCATGTCACTCTCCAGCAACTGAGCGGATCCAAAAAATTTAGCCAAACATTGTAAATGTACTGCACTGACGGCAAATGGTGATGTGATTCTGCAAAAAAACTTTTGACCCTGTAACAATGTACATGAAGGAAATGCCATGTTGTGATATATGGTGAGATACTGATTTACGGCGTAGACTGTTTTCACTCAAGTTAATTATGTCAATTATATTGGCCGAGGACCCTCTCGAAAAAAGTGTGAGACGGCCACTATCAATAGCCAAGGGGTATGGAAAATGGTGCACTGAGACTAGTTCTTAAGCATTATATGATGCTGTGCATGCATGAGGGTCATTCCATAAATAAGGGGGCCGATAATGATTGTGCGCCCTTGTCAAGTCTGACGTGATTCTGTAAGTTTAGAACAATTTTTTATTCCAAAAAGTAATTAAGTAATGCAAATTACCTGCAAAGATATCTCCATGTTAAATTACACAAATCAGGTGCGACACAGAGACAAAAATGTCACACTTTTGGCCCTTAAATTTATGAAATGACCCCAAACCAATTTCCACTTGAATGTACACAAATCCACGGCATCTCCGCACAGGCTATCAGCATTCAAGTGTCTGCCTTATCTCCTTTCTTCTTTACTCTTGATTGCTCTTATATGAGAATATATGTACAGTGGAACGCCGCTATACCAAACACCACTACACCGAACATTCAGCTGTACTGAACATCGTCCTTTGCTCCCAATAATTTGTGCACAGAACCTACCAAACACTATTCAGTAGCCGTTTGTAATTCCCGAACGTCAACATGATAAAAGAGTCGGTGTTTTTTTATGTTGGAAAGTGACAAGTGGCCATTATTTCCCCATTGATTAGAAGGGAAAGGCACTCGTTGTCAACGGTATTGAATAGACGCTGGTTTTGAGACTCCACATGATCGGGTACGGAAGAAAACCGTACGTACGCGCACGGTGGCATTGCACTAACAATAGGCTAAAGAGGGTGCCGCTGATACACAAATCAACCCAGATTCGCCACAGCACGCATCAGAGATCGATCCTGAGCAGTAGTTTCAACACTTTTAGGATAAACTTGATATCAATTTTTTGACTCAAGTATTAAATAAAAACAAAATAATTAACAGATACATTTCTAGAAACCTTAAACTTGAATGCAACGGCAAAACATTACGAAAACAGCAAACCAAGGTATCACAAGAGGGTGCACTTCGGTTAGACAAGAGAAAGCGCTATTCAATATGGCAACGAAATGTTCGGCAGTTAAATTCCCTATACCGAGCGACCGCTGTACTGAACATTTAGCGTGGACCCCGTCTCGTTTGTTATAGCGGCGTTCCACTGTATGTCCCCTTGAGCAAAGACACTGATGGTCTGTGGGTATAACACCACTGTTGTGTTCTAAAGATAACAGGTTCAAAATGCCACTCCTGTCCATTTCTTTCTTCAGTGTTAAGTTACCCTACCTGGTGCTTCTTGATCAGTCCCTTCACGCTCCTCAGGTCCTGCCCGAGGTCTTGGGAGGACAGGGCCACCTCCATCTCGGCGATGCTGGTCACCGCATCCTCCAGGGCTCGGTTCAGCCCCTGCTGCTGCGTGGCCTGGCGCAGCTTGACCCCCTTGTCTGAGGAGCGGGCGTTCAGGTCGGCCCAGCGGTCATTCAGAGCGGTCAGGGTTGCCTTGACATCCGAGGCTTTGAAGTTCCCCTTCTGGATCAGTGCTTGACCGGTCTGATGTGACAAGACAAGAGAATGACACAATCTGTCTGATGAAAGCCATGCTTGTGCCAGAGTCAGAAGTCATTTTTGGGTTTGTGCACAGGTCCACCAATATACTGGATGTGTATTCACACAGTGCGTCGATTAGCACCTTCCAATTAGAAGACGTTTTGATTCCTAAGTTGGCCACAAAACACACCCCAGTGGTCCTACTGACTGTGTGTTCATGCAGGAAGTCCTTATCCGACTTTAATCTGTCCTTTGCCATTTTGAATCACCCAGTGAAAGCCAAGACCCAGCATTCAATCATTAAGAGAAACAAATGGTGCCACACACGACCTCACATAGCAACTCTCCCTTTGTGTGCCTTTTGTCTGCGTCAGAAAGGACAACTGAAACCAAAGCTCTATTGTGAACTGTTTGACCAGCTTGAGAAACCGTATTCGCATGACCATCAAACCCTGTCAAAGGAAATGAAGGGCTGTAACTTGTTTGCAAATGGCTTAAAATATTCAAGTTGTCTTCCAAATGCACACGTGCAGTCCTCCACAGGGTCAACAGAATAAATTTGGTAAGAACTGAACATGTACCTACTACATCTTGAGTACCGTAGAACGGTTCTAATTTTATGCCAAACATAGGCCTTCCTATTCAAGCTTACTTAAACTACATAGATGGCGGCAACACTGACGCAACAAAACACAGCAACTGACCTCGTTGAGTTTGTCTAGACTGTCCTTGTTGGCTGTCAGCTCTGCTTCAAATGCCTCGTGCTTCTTGACCTTTCTGGGCAGGTTGGTCAGCTCACGGAAAGACTCGTCGCATGCTATCTCATGCTTCTCATATATCCACTCTGACAACTGAACAAAGGAGTAACATGATTTGATCACAAGAACTACATGTACGTCTGGCCAGACACAAGGGTAACAGTGTACCGCTGACAGAAATCTTTCAAATGAAACCGGTCAAGATACACAGAGAGTCTCTGAAGTACCAACAGGGATAAAAGTACACCTGATTTTAAAGACAGGTCAATGACAATGGAGAAAATCATTAAGCTCCATGCATTATCAAACCAGCAGAAATTTGTATCAACTTCCTATGGTATTAACTATAACATTTGAGACTCCTTATACACAAGCTGGCCAAACTGCCTGGGGTGCCACTCATGACTTGTGCAAACCTACATTTCTTGGGCAAACCCATCTCCATCATCTTTCATTTTTACCACATTTTACTGGAGCTTGAAGGAGTCTTATAAATACCTCATCTGCATCCCTGCAAAACTCCAAGAACTCTCGAGATTGGAGAAGTTTCTGCCTCCGGAGGGCGCTGTTCTCTTTCACCTTCAGCCTGCGGGCGACCACCTCTTCGCACCGATTTGAAATGCTGAGCCACAAAGGAGCATAAGAGCATTAAATTGGATTCAATTTCCCCGGAAAACACCTTTTTGTTCGTTTATTTTCAGCCCTGACCTGCTTTCCTAAGGTATCAGTGTCTCCAGGGTTAAACTGTCTACTGTAAGTTGATATGTTCAAGTGACACCTGCGGGCAATATGACCAACACAGCCAGAACAATTGATTTCTCTGGACCATCTAGTCGACCGTTCAACACCAGGCTCTGGCGCATGGTCGCCCCAGTGGTTATCAACAACTGATTTGATTGATCAGTACGGAGGGAACCATTCACATGAAAATAATTGTACAAGACGTCACTGACCATGTATGCTGCGAGAGTCGCAGCCCAAGGCAGGAGGTGAGTACAACTTGACTGTGCTTGCGCAATGTTAAAAAGCAACTGATTTGTGGTCAAACTACAGATTGAACTATGCCTTTCCTTGTCCTGTGTTAAAGTTCTCTATTGTAGCTGTAACTAGCCGGTTCAGCACTCCCACTGCCCGTGCACATCTCAAGATCTGACAAATTTAGTTTCAGGATAAATTGTCCCAAATCACTCAAATTGTGCCTTTTATGTTCCAACATTGTGCACGAGAAGTTCCATCGTCTTTCCGAGACCGTGGAAAAACTCGAAGATAAATCTACATGTATCTGTACAGACTATTCTCTTTATCATACTACAAATTGACAAAGATATCAACGTTGGTAATATCAGGTCTGAAAACCAAGCTGGCTTTCCATCCATCAAATTCAAATGGATTATAGTAATGACAATTTTGGCCAGAACACAAGATAAACCTTATTAAGTGCTTTGTGCAGAAAGTTTCACAATCAAGATTGGAACTGGATAAGGTGAAATGGTGATGAATAACACCACTACCGATACTCTGATATATTTCTGTAGAGCACTGATCCGCAGATATTTCAAGACGATGTTTCTTCAGTAAGCTGTTTCTTTTTCTCTTGAATTGTCGCTTACATTTTTCAAGCTTGAATTCTGCTAACTGTGATGAACTTTATACATCCAAGACATGAATGAAACCTTATTATTCAAAACATTACCTAAGTTAACTTTACACATAAAATATAACTAAAAGGCGCTATCGCGAAATTGACTAAGCGTTCTTTTGCGGTTTGTCGGCATTCTGGCCAATCAGTCCATCGTCGTCAAGGAGGGCAAGAATCTACGGAGTGGATGGCAGTGTGCACTCATGCGTGGCCGGGTAGCATTTTTTTTCCGAGCTTGGTATCCGCGGAATATCGGGCGTATTCACAAGACTGGTAATTTACATAACCTTACACATTGCATTCCGTCCTCAAGTGTACCCGGTTGTCAAGGGGTCTTTTGTTTGACAGGGACCGGCATGCTCTCCGTGATCCCGCGGGATGTCCGCAGCGCTGAATGGTTGGTCAATTTCACAATGCCACCTAAAGAAACAGAAAGTTTGGTGGATCCCATGATCTTACATTGTTCTGGCGTAATGGTTATTGTTCACCAACTTGGCAGCTATCTCCTTCAGTCCTTGCAATCTCTCATCCTGTACAGTCAGCGTGTTCTCAAAGTCCTCTTGTCTCTTGATCAAGCCGTAAACAATCTCAACCGTAGCCTGAGGAAATGAACACAATGAAATTGTAAAAGAGCTGATTCAACAAAAACTACAACAAAACAAAAAGTTGTTGATCTGTTGTGCAGATTTTTTGGTAGCAGATTGAAAATTGCTTTTTTTCTAATTCCTCTATTAAGGCTCTGATCTTTCCAGTTACAGCGATAATTAACTTTTTTACAAGTGAACTTCCATGGTAAAATCACGCCCACATGGAATGCATGATATCAGAAAACAAACACAGAGAAATTACAAGCTGAAGGCTTGGGATGCAACTGCAGTAGAGATCAGTCTTTCAAAAAGATAAAATGGGAGACTTTGAGACGCTTGGTGGTGGCAAAAATGACACATACTTTTTAAATGGTTCTGAACATGCCTGTGTTGTTCTGAGCATGTGTGCATAGTTCTGAGCATGCACAATATAGTGAAAAAGGGACTCGTATGTCTGCTGCCACCAGCATCTCAACGTTTCCTGGTACATGTGTAGCTTTCTTTCTCATTTCAGAATTTATGGAATTTGTGTTGACAATTAGTATATTCTGATGATTTTCTCACATTAAAAGAGCAACTGCAAAGGCTGCATCTCATGCGCGACAAGACCTCTTTAAATATTTTTTTCAGATTAGAGGAAAACGTTATAAAGCACAGATTTCAGACACTGCAAGATCACAATATCTGGCAGTCTGCGTACACAAGGACAGCTAACAATTTAAACAACATGTGCCCTGAGTCTCTGCTGGTGGATGCGTGCGCATGCTAATCCCGCACATGAGTTGGACATGCGCACCAAGTCTGATGAAGGCAGATTGTGCATTGAACTTTTAACTTGATCCCTGTACATAGCCAGGTGCCCCCGAGCTTGGCAAAATGGGAGGCCGGGATTAGCAATATTGCACAAATGCTGTTCATGTGACTCTGACGAGACAATATTGGTGACATCTGGCAGTGGACCAAAGTTGCCACTATCAATTTTTTATCCCAAAGTTGAAGTAGCTGGTCAAAACCATACAATCCGCAAGTGGTCAAAAACCGGGCCACAGACCCATCACATATTCCTTGCCCAGGCAGATACAGGCAATCAGTTTGATTTCCACAGCATGAATGTTTTGGAGCAATGGCACTTACACCCAGATCTTCAAACTCCAAGAAGGCCTCGTGACCGCTGGTCCTGGCATCGATCTGGTCAGCCTCCCTGTTGAATAGCTGTAGTTGGAAAGACGAATGTTGTCACAAAAATGGCACAAAGGTTTACTGTCCCTCTCACTTGAGCACAGTCAATTGGTCACCGTGGGCATACATGTAGCATAAATCCATTGTCGTCATACATGTGACTTTTTGAATGGGCATTTGGTACTTCCATTCTTACAATGTTACATCTGGCACAGATTTCAGCAGAAACATTTCATAAGAATCTTCTGGTGTAAAGAATTCTAGGTTTTCTACCTTCACACTCAGGTATTTACAAATAATGACAAAAATCATTAGTAAGGCACAAATCTGATAATACTTAGGTATTTAAGGGCACCAAATTCCTATCATAATCCCTGTTTATCACACTCATAATGTCGTTCCTGAAATCATCTCAGCTTCCAGAGTTTACAACTTGTGTTGCCATTTCAGGCACAAATGGCTCCCAAACAAAAATAAAACCACCTCTGCCCTCACAGCCAGCCGTTCATACATCTGCTTGGTGTGATGCACCTGTTAACAGTTACGTGCAATGTTGTTTTTGAGTCCATCACAAGTCCATTCTCAAGACCCTTCATAAGTCCAGTCACAAGTCCCTTCACAAGGCCAGTCATAAGTAATAGGGTGAACGTCAAATAGCTTGTGAATTGGCTTAAGACTGAATGACTTGTGATGGACTTACAGGGACTTGTGATAGGCTTGAATACAACACTGGTAAGGTGACTTGCCCCAAGACCACAACGTAACTAACTGCTGGATTCAAAGCTCTGATCGTACAATTACAAACTCTAATCACTGGGCATCCCAATAAAATGAAATATACACTGAATTGATGAATATGTACTCACAGCAAGATCCAGGGCATCTTGCAGCCGTTGGTTTCGCTTGTCCCAGCCCGCTTGGATCTCAGTGCGTGATTCAGACAGCTTCCTTGTCCTCTGTGCAATCGTCACCGAGTCAGGCAAGGCCTTCAGCAGCTGCCTACCGAGTGCCTCCAACTTGGTGAATCTTATAAACAAACAGAAAATGGAAAAGAACTTCACATGTGAAGCCAGGGTGTAGGGTTCACTCGCAACTGGGGTGATGATGTGATATGTCAAGTGCCCGGGAAGTTCTTTTCTTTAATCTCATCTTATCCTAATGATGGGAAAGTGGGACTTAGGAAACAACGAGTACTCAAAACAACATCTTCATTCCCCTATCATCACTGAACACATTTCTCTCCTTTAATGTCCTTCAAGGCAGCCCTAAAAGGATGAAATGTTTTTCCACTAATTTCAACTCCCACAGACACTGTAAGTCTACAGAGAAGTCAGATTTCATGTTAAATGTTGGCCCCATTAGCCTAAGTGTTCATACATTTAAGAAAACGGTTTTTCAAATGCAAAGTGTGACAAACATTTAATAGTGATCCCCGACAATGGGTTGAAACATTGCATATGCTAAGACAACACGCACATCCCACCATAAATCAGTGCAGATGCCACCACAAATCAGAGCAGAGGTCAAGGAGAAATTGATATGTTTCCTGTAGATTTGAATATGTCCAAAACAAGACTACAACAGAAGCATAAAGAACTGTGACAGCCAAGAGTGCTCTTCTCACTACTGACTGAAATTACAGCCAGCCATCCTTCTGTTCACTAGCACCTTCTTGGTCATTTGCATTGGCCTTGTCTTCAGTTTCACTTTCGCTTTGGAGTTCCGTTTCAACTCCGGTGGAAGAATTAATGTGTAGCCTTCAATGTGCAAACCAAATGAAATTTGTAGCTCTTAAAGAGCTCCATGCTCCCGAAGCAGATATGAACACAAACATATCCTTCTATGGGAGGGGGATCTAAAGCTGTCACAACCAACTTCAGAGGCATAGCCTCAGTTTGCAGAAACTACAGCCATTGATTGACATGTTGATGTCGAAAGCCCAAGCCGTAAACGCAAGTCGGCTGAACTGGATCACAGACTTACATGTCATCATGACCCCTGACATCCTCCAGCAGGTCCTGGTGCTGTTTCAGAAGATTCTCCGATCCCACCACGTCCCTCGCTAGCTCTGTGTCCAGCAACAGCCCTCGCACTTCATTGCACCACACAGTCTACAAAATGAACGCCGAGCACAACAGACACTCTTACCGTGCAGACAAATTTCTAGTGCATTCGGAGGTGGTGTTTCATGCAGGTTGTTCTGCAACACCTCTGCGTCTGAAATAACATTTTGACATGCAACTGCAATTTGATAATGCCCACTGTGTGAAAATGCATTGGCACCCGTATACGGGAGTTTAATCCATTCCTCTTGGTCAAGAATCTGAGTGCACTGCTGCACCCAGAACTCGCCAGTGCCAAGTCCATATAAGGAGATTCTTCTGGACTACCTGCACAAATACCAGTTGCACATGAAATGAAAGGGTTTTAGGGGGGCTTACCAGTAAGGCCTTACTACTCTTCCGCGTAAAGTCCACTTTTTTAACGGCAAGTTAAAGGGGCTGGAAAGTTCACGAACTGCACGCCCGTGCGCACTCGATGTCCAAGGAGTTAATGAGCTGGCTCAGCTGGGTGCTATTGTTGCAGAGAGACTACGTCATGAGACACAGAGACATACATACTGCTTTCTTTCCGCGGACTGGACGGCATTGGAAAACATGATCAACTAGGAGATGCATTTACATATTGGGTTCTTTCTGTGAACAGGACGATGTTGGAAGACAATGACAGACTCAGAGAAACATTCACATGTTACCTTCTTTCCGCAGATTTTAACGTGTTGAAATGCACTTTGGACTTCAAGAAGCATCAGCTGCGAATTTTGTGAAGCGGGTAGTTAGTTTGAAAAGCGCAAATTCGGTACCAACATACATAAAAAAAATCACGTTCACGCCGATTATTTGAGAGTTGGCAAATGTTGAACACGTTTGCCTCCTGGCAAATTTTATAGCAGCAAATGCTTTACAGCATCGTTATGTATTACGGTCCATTATTCTACCTTTACGTGAATTTTGAGTAGTACTTCATGCGAATGTTATGTGAAGTAAAACAACTTCACATTTACAAAAACCTTCGGCGTGAAATTGTGCCCTTATTGAGCACGTGAGTAGATCACTTGAATGCTAACGAGTTTACAAACATGCATAATGCATGTCGACGTACGAGGTGCAACCTGGGTGGTCAGATACTTTCACATGACTTGGACACTTCCATTTCTTCAAGAGGAGGTATGAAACCCCATTTCTATATAAAAAACGTCTGGAAAGTTCGTAATGAATAAAGTATTTTTAAATCACTTTGCACAGAAATTGTTACTATATACAAACAAAACCTGTTTACTTCACAAATTTTTATACATTAACCCTTTCACGCCGGGATGTTTTAACCGCAACCCATCTGGCTGCCGGGTTTATTTTCCAAATTTTGCNCGGGTTACACACTGCACACAGCCTGGCTCTGTGTAATCATGAAGCCTGCGGGGTATTTGGATCCCGTTCAACAAAATACCAGGTACCCAGCACTAGCCTTGCCCACGCGACAACACCAACTACCCAGGGACGCTCGGTCACAACGGAGAGTGCAGCGCCTGCTAAGTTCACACAGTCTCTGTTTGCTTTTAGCGGGCACCGTGGCTCGTGTGCCTGCTTCCCAGTAGTCCATGCATGCCCAGCATCAATGCCCAGCCCCAACTTGTACATTGAGTACGCTTCACAAGTTTTTATTTCAGCTAATACCCAGTGAAGATTTCCCGTAAAATTCCCCTTTTGTTTTTATTTTGCGCAAAGTTTGCTCAGAATTTTCTTGTACATTTGTAAGTTGGTTTTTTTTGTAAGTTCTATTCAAATCCCCTTTCCGTATGCAATGATACATATAAACAGCCCCTTCTAAGTAAAGTTTGAACCTTCCCATGAAAACTATCTTTCCAAACTAATCCTCCCCACAATTATAAAATAAACAGACACAAGAGAAACACAAGACAAATTTTTCTCACTTTTCTTCTTCTCTTGACGACTCATCGTTTCTTTCTTTGTAAAAAAACTTAGCCAAAAAAAGGAAAGAAAACGGAGAGTGGTTGCATTACACAATGTCTTGACACAGGAGAAAATTCTTGTGAAAAAGTTTGCCAAAATTGTACATGAATAAGTAATTGATTCAAGTATAATCAAAGTAAAAGTAAAATCAAGTAAATCAAAATTCACATACTATTTCTTGGAAAACAGGAAACTTTACATAAATAAGCAATTGATTCAAGTGTGATAAACCTTGAAACAAGGAGCTGCGTAAAGTGGAACTTGGGGATAATTTCACACATCAATTTGGTCACTTTTCTTTTACCATTTCTAGAACAAACATCATAAAATTACATCATCATGTACCATTTCATTTATGATGTCATGAAACACAGGAAACTATACACAAATAAGCAATTATTCAAGTGTGATATTCCTTGAAACAAGGAACAGCGCAAAGTGGCACTTCACAAATTTCACACATCACTTTGGTCTCTTTTCTTTTGCTATTTCTAGGACAAACATCACACCATCTGTATAATCTAGCTCGTTTTCCAGTTGGGGGAATTTTTACAGCAAAATGTCTTCCTATCAGTCTACCTGGACCAGGAAGACAGGTTGGTCTACCTCTAGATCAATACACTGGCAAATTTGGTGAATGTGACTCTGAAGTTTCACTCACCAACATGTGTCTAAATGTCAAAAAAATGGCAGTGCCACCAATTTCCTTATACACAAGATAAGAGTTTACAAGAGCAACATCAAGCAAAGAAAAGAACAGTTTCTTATGCCATTTGATTGATTTTCTGACTGAACGGTGTGACAATGCCAGCTGGTCTGCAATGTCCACACCCTTCATCCCCTCGTTGTAGTCGAGTACACATTTGGGTTTCTCCAAAACGATGCCGTCACGGTTCCGCTTGCCGGTGTCGGCCATCTCGGCTGTGTGCATCGTGGACAGCATACGGACATCTTTTTTGTCTTGCCAGACCAAGGCGAGCAAGCGTTTGTCACTGGAGCAGTGAACAACATCACCTCTCTCAAGTTTCAAGGAGCACAAGTCCTTGGGCATGTCTTGACGATTTTGTATTACCGTCCCGAAGACGTTCGTCTTCTGGTCGTGTAGTTTCAGGTACAGTTCTGGGCTGCTGAACCAGTTGTCCAGGAAAATGGTGTACCCTTTGCAAGGAAGATCATCGTTCAAGTCAAGTACGATTTTCGTACTTGCCAGTCCAGCAGTCTGGTCTTGACCGGTGTAAATCTTGAAGTTCCAGGTGTATCCAAAACCCGTGCTCTGGCAGACTCGATACACCTTGATGCCAAACCTCGCACGCTTCTTGGGGTTGTACTGCTTGAACTTCAGTCTCTCTTTGAATTTCCAAAGGGACTCGTCGGTAGTAATCTTGATGGACGGAATGTAGACGGACTTGAACTTCTCGATCAGTTTGTCTACCACCGGGCAGAGCTTGTAGAGTCAATTAGTCACATCTGTATGGCTGTTATCGACAAATTGCAGATAGGCCAGCAAGTTCATAAATCTGTCCCGTGGCTTGGTATCAGGAAAAAACGGAGTCTCAAATATTGAGTCTCTCGTCCAGTAGGACTTCAAGTCGGGTGTCGAAATCAGTCCCATGACTATCATCATGGACAGGAACACTGACATCTCGTCTGGTGTTGTGTCAAACCAGCTTCGTATGTGACTTGGACTTGCTTCTGGTTGACTTTTCGGGTGTTCAGCGGCATAGCGGTTGGTCTCGTTGGCAATGTGCAATATCAGCTCTGGGGTGAGAAACTGCTCAAAGATTTCGACAGGAGTGCTGCTCTTGTCCAGTTCTTGCACTTGAACACCCGCTGTGCCTTGAAAGCCGTGTCGGCAAGGAAGTTGTCATCAGCCGTCCATTGAATGGACGAAGTCTTGACCTTCTCGGCAGGTCTCACTAACGGTGGTTGCCCGTTAGAATCGCTGTCACTAGTTTCATTTTCTGAACTATGTTCAGATTCCGACATGAAATCTGGAACCACTAGTGGCAGTCAAAGTTTCCTTGTTGCTGGAAGACATCGTGTAATGCAACTGAAGGGCTGGGAAGCGGTCAAGCAAATATATACCCAACACTACAGAAAAAGCTGCTTTTCGACGAAACAAATATCTATTTACACTGAACAATGGCCCGTCTATACCCCAAGTGCGTGGTGCTGGTGTGCTGCCCACGTGTTCCCAGCCCAGCAGGGCCGTAAACAATGGCATGCACACCATGTCAATGGCCTATATTCATCACGCTCTGGGCCCACACAAAACGCATTGCATAAGCCCTGTCCACGGCCTTGAGCGCCGCTCCACGGAGATTACCCAGGGTATTCAATCAAAGACAAAAGGGTGTTTTGATAAAAAAAAACATTTACTAAGTATCAAGGGCTCAACGAACTCTCTAGGTTGCCCCAGATTTCCATTCAATGCAAAGGTCCGAGTAATTACAGGTGTACACTGAATAAAAGTTACAGGTGTGGTATGCGGCTACAGCTGCTTCCTGGTTATTAGACTTTTCTCCAGGCCTGCTCTTGCCGCTTCCCGGCGTGAAGGGGTTAAAAATTAAATACAGAAAACAATAAATGATCCCTATTTTGGTGAATGACTTCAACGGGGCACCGCACAGTTCTACAAATCAACCTTTCGATGGCGGAGGAATTACAGGGAACAGTTTGGAATCACACATCAAATAAAATTCTAGACAAATAAAGAAGACTCTATCACGGTGTGTACATTCATTGCAAGTCCTTTTTTTATTTCACAGACATGCATAAAAACTCAACAATCCCAAAGCTTAAAGCACAGATGCATGGCCCCGCTCATGAATAAAAATATCTTCTAGTAAGAAGGATCATGTTTGCACCATGCTCTGTGCAATCATGTCCAGATCGGACTAGTCGTGGCTGTGATGCACTGGCACTAGACCCACACGACTCGACTAGTCTGTACCATAGAGAAGAGACAAGGTAGTGGTCACTCACGACTGTCAAGTTGTGTAGTGTGTGCGAACCAACTAGCCAAGCTCGGTGTGTACAAACTTTCCATGGGCAGGGTGCATTGCCAGCATGTGGCTGTTCTGAACAGGTGATCACATATGCATGTTGTGCACACCTGGCGTGGCGCGGCGGGGCGCAGTGCTGCGCTGCATGCTTTGTGGGGTCTGGGGTCTTTGTGGGTACTCCATCCACTGTGTACCGTAGTTGTGGGCACGTAAATTTGACTAGTAGCTAGAACACGCTGTTCTGATTGTGGTTTGGCCGGGCTCTCCGTTATACACAGTTTTTTGAATCAGTCATTGCAATCGCAAACTTTCCAGTTGACATTGATATTTAAATGCCCCAACCTAAATTTGCATAGGGCGTTCTGAACGCGGAGCAAACCGAATATTCACATTTGCAGATTAATATACACCGTTCTTGCCGCATGTGGTCGTCGTTGTCAAGTGCTCTTTTGTTAAAAAAGGTTAGCGGACTCAGGTGGACTTTCCCTGGGAAGAACGGTAAGGCCTTACTGGTGAGCCCCCGAAATCCATTGCCTGGTGCTATTACCCCCACAAACCATTTGGACTCTTTCTTGGCCAATCCTACTTTTCTTCTCTGAGACGGCAATCAGTACCAGCAGTTCCCCTTTGAATTTCACGCAAGCTTCAGTCACGTCCCTTTTGATACCAGTGGGGGACAAAAACTGCCCAAACCCAGTTTTTGTAACTTTCCCTAACCTTTTTCCACGTGACTGCACACCCTAACCTATCTACCTCATCCCCACCTCTCTCCAAAAAAAACCCACAATACAGCTTTCTGAAATGGGCAGTGGAGTTACGATTTCACACAACTGATCACGGGATGCACTTAGGGGATTATCAGTTCTCACCAGTTCTTTGGTTTCATTGTGAAACCTGCTGATGTCTCGACTCTGCTCCAGCTGCGCCTTCCGCTCTGCCGCTTTAGCCTCCAATGTGTCCCACAAGTCCCTGATCTTGGCCTGCCTCTGGTCAATGTGGTCCCCTTCGTTTGGATAGGATGACTTCACACTGGAAAGAGATGCAATCAATTTCCTGAGTATTAGTAGATTTCAAACCTGTTTTGCTCACCATATTTTGTATTATGCAGTCACAGCACAGAAATGAGGTTTTCAGGATCATTGGGAAGATCCAAGAAATACTCAAATGCTACTGACTCCTGCATATTTCATAATCACAGGTAGTGAAGCCATAATGCCTCCATGCCTTCATCAAACACTGTCATGTTTGACAGGCTCACTCTCATGACTGTACAATCTCTCTGCCATGTACCATTCCTTCAAAGCAGAGATAGATCCTGACCCATTCAATAAATGCAAAATATTCAAAGGCAATAGGAGGCCATTGATGTTTTCTCTGCATGTATGTAAAAAGCCAGGTGCATATTGTTTACATGAAGGCAAGATGCGTTGTGCGCATTCTGTTGAAAACTGGTGGCACACTGTGCATTCTGCTCACGGTACTCTGCCTGTCTTTGGACTTGGCAAACTTGGCAAAGTTGAAGTGAACGTGTCCAACAGCATTATCTGTAGTTCTCAGGGCCTACCATCCATACAGGTAAAAGTCTGATTCCTTCCTGAGTCCAGGGTGCAATGTTGCACCAAGTATACTGCTCAAAAACTGTTAAGACCCACTTATTTCTTAATTGTTTTCCAAGCAATAAATGGGGCATAGTTTTTTTCATTTTTTGTTTGTTTAGATGGTGTTCTCATTGCACATTTTCTAAAAATGGACAGTTTCGGGGAAAAGTCAAATGACAAAATAACAAGTGGTCCTTAATTTTGTGAGTACTGTATCTTTAATGATAACAGGTTCTCGTAAATGACATGAAATTAGTTTTGACTATTTTTTCACTCTCTATAGTTTTTAATACTTCAGAGAGAACAAACCAAACTGCTCATTTTTGAAACAGTAGTTTGATGTAACTGGGCATTGTGGGGTGAAAACATTGCTCTGATGATCTCAAAATGTTGAAAATTTGTTTATGCGTCTGTAATTAAGCAATTTTAGTAACTTGGGTCATGAATGCGTCTGATGCATGAACAGACTTACGCCTTCGCTAGGAGATTAAGTTTCCGGAGCTTTTCGCTGACGGGCGCCAGCTCCCTCTCCAGGTTCTCATGCTTCCGCTGCAGGTCCTGCACAGACTGGGAATCCTTGCCGGGATCATAGGAGGAGAGAGCATTGAACTTGTCCAGAATCCACTCCTTGGCCTCGCCCCAGGAGTGGTTGTACAGCTCAATGCTGCAAGTGTGAACCAGAAAAAAATTAGGGACCTACTAGCATTCCCATACAGAAACACCTACCAACTCCCTTTGAATCCCTGTTCTCGTCAATTAATCCTGAGGATCAACACCTGCCTTGAGGGTTCTCAAGAGGATGGACATTTGCCTTTGGGCAGAACTGATGATGGTTTTCTCAGGAATCCCCTTCCCTTCAGGAAGACTTTTTCTGGAGTCACTCCCTTTCTCAGCATCCCCGTCTACTTCCCTGACATCACTACCTCAATACCAAAGATCCAATCCTGTCTAAAGGATCTGGAGGATCAAGGTCTCGAGAGGATCCATACCCATGCTCGGAAGAAGTAACAAGTGTAGTCTTAGGTATCCCCTTCCTTCAGGAAGACTTTTTCTCAAGTCACTGCCTTTCTCAGCATCCCCGTCTACTTTCCTGACATCACTACCTCAATACCAAAGATCCAATCCTGTCTACAGGATCTGGAGGATCGAGGTCGCGAGAGGATCCATACCCATGTTCGGAAGAAGTAACAAGGGTAGTCTTCGGAATCCCTTCCCTTAAAAGACACTTTTGCCTGAATTCCCTTTCCTTGAATCCATGTCCCCTTCCCTCACCCCCTTCCCTTATTCCTGAGGATCAGCAGCTGCCTCAAGGATCTGGAAGATCAAGCTCTTTAGGAGAACCAACAACTTCATTTCAGAAAAACCCAGGAGGGTCCTCTTGAGAACACTTTTCTCTTGATATCTCCTTCCCTTTGATCCTTCAAGTTCCCATTATTATACTGAATTCCCTTTTTAGGAGTATCCATTGGGCTTTTAGATCTGTCCTGACCACCAAAATGTCTTGGAAATAAATCTTAATCTTAGAGCTTGTGTGTCTGCACATACTGGTTATGTTATCACGAAAGTTTGTCAGTTCAGGTTCATCCTACCTTGTCGGGTCTGTTGTCTGTCCCTGAACTTAGAAAAAAGGCACTGCATGCAGCTATAGACTGTTTCCAAATGTATTTAACCTTGATGCACCTGGACAGCCGTTTGCCCCGGGGCCTTTGCATATGAGGCAAGTAATCTCCCAAACACAAAGTTGTGCTACCACAATACAAGCACACTGAGCGCTTTGAGTGGTATGGCAAATCTATTCCCACTCCCCTATTGATCTTTTATTGGTGAAGAAAGTGCCCAGCAGGTCACCAAGTTTCACACAGTCTTGAGACCTGAGAAGGCAGCGACCAATCTCACCTGGATGCCCCCTCCAACATCTTCTCCTTCTCCTCCTTCAGCTTCATCAGCCTCTCCCATTGATCGTTGACCTCCTTCTGCCGGCCCAGCACTTCGGCCTGCTTGCTGTGCCCCGTCCGCACAAACTCGTCTGCCATCTTGTTGATGCGGTCGATACGGCCCTGGTTGGCTACCAGGTCCGTCAGCAGGTTCTCAAACTTCCGCCGGGAGGCCTCCACCCGCTCCGACAGGGTTTCTTTCTTCTTCAAGATCTTCTCCTGTGGGGCATTTGGATACATTAGTACCATAAAACAAGTGAGCTTTGGGGTTATAAAACATGCAACCAATGGCACAAGTTGTAGTTAAATGCTAGTAGAAACAAGTCTCTGTGAGTACATGTACCACGGTCTCAACTAACAAGCCAAAAGGTAGTACATTAGATGAACTCTAACAAGAGGCATTCCTTTGTTCACCCACCGTAAGCACTGAAATTGTGGCAACTTGTGAGAAATACAGCTCTGCACACAGCAGCAATTGAGCCAGATCTAGAGATGTTGATAGAGTTACGGACAAAACATCTCAACGATCCTGTTTTTAGTACTTCAAATGGTTGTTTTGGTTGCAATGTTTTTATTGGTCAGGATGGTACAGTTCCGAACATGCTGTCAATTGAAGACTCTTAAGATGTTCCATCCAAATTTAGGTTAAGTCTTTTAAAGCCTAGATAACAAGCAAGCTCCTTTATAACTAGGAATAAAACCTACACCCCAAAAAGGGCTTTGTGACCTGATGGCATATCCCGGTATGTAAAGCTCTCCACAACCTATTCATATACATGTACATTCCATTTTCTGTAGTAAATAATTCAAAAATAATGAAATTCAATTTCAGGATACAAATCAAGCCTTTATTTTGGCCTTCTGGACAAGTATAGGAATCACAAGGTGAGGAGATAAGATCTTGCAATATTCTACATATTTTCAACAAGAACAACATTTTTGTTCGTTTTGGCCGTTTTTAAGTTAAAGCTGGTTTTCTTCATTTTGTCTGGGTATTCTTTGGATCTTTGACCTTTTAATTTTCAAGTTCAATTTTTATGAAAAAATTAATGATTTCATTTAAGACTACTAAATGAGAAACTATGAAAACAAGGTTTTATTAATCACTCTGTAGACACAGGGTGCATGCTTCAAACTAGGTTAGTGTTTGAAAATGTTGGTGACATATCGCAACCAATCTTCTTTGGAATTAATACATAAATGTGAGTGGGGCATTATGAACTGCAGTCAATGTGATCATGAGTCATTCACATTAGGCTAGATGTGCGTGACTCACTCCATGTGCAGTATTATTTCTTTATAAAGACCGACTCAACTTTATCATGAAGCATACACGTATGATATCATGGAAGCAAGGGGTAGGGACAGTCACGGCAATGAAGCAAACCACAAACGTGCTCTCCAGTGTGAGACATTTTTCGCCCAAACTATGCTTTTTTTCAATTTTCGGGTCAGTGTTGCAGTTGGGTCCATAACAAGTCCCTGCAGGTCACTTCACAAGTCATCCAGTCTTACACCAAGTCGGAGGCTATTCAAATATACTGTGACAAAGTAACTCCTTAGTGCTCATTTTTGACCTGGTTCCTTGTGAGAGGACTTGTGATAAACTCGGCTACGACACAGAAGTTGAAATAATGTAAATCATTTCTTAAAGCAAACTGCTTCTATAGCACAGAACCCCTCACTCAAATTGGTGAAACTCCAGGGATCTCTGCACAATTTCTTCCATGAAGAACAAATATTCTGTACAACAGAACGGTAAGTCAAAGAGCTCATCCACAGTCTTTGTCCTTGACTATCGGCTATGAAGCTGCAGTATGCAATGTGAAATTGATATGAATATAGTGCACATGCGTTTATCCATGCATGTATTATTATGATGAAATTCAAGCACAAGTAACATATGATTTGAAACGTCTGTCCTAAAACTAATTACCAACATTTACCTACCACAGCGTCTTTCACAGAAATTTACAGGATTTTATTTTTGTGGAGCTTGTTGGTAGCAATTGGATCAGGCATTGAAGCAAAACTTCATTTTGGTCAAGTCTTTTGCAACTTACTTGAAACACAATCCCAATTTGTCATTTTGCTTAGGTTCCCATATTAAAGCAATGGGACAGACATCCATTTTGTGAAGCATTCCCAAAATGGCCACAGCAAACCTCCAGCCTAAGACAAAGATCTGGACAAGCATTATCCAATATTTCAACCAAATAAAATGCATAGTTTGGGAAAAATGCTCAGCTGGCCTGTGTAACCTCTGGTGAGATACGTGTACCTACCATGATACTGGTTTGAAAGGGGAATGCTTTGGGCTTTGGGTGAAGACAAATAAGGCAATAGATGAATATATCATAAGAACCATCAACTTTTATTGTAAAAATGATACTCTGTTACTTTTTTGGGGGGGACGCATCTCAAAGCTGGGGGAGGGGCAGAACACCCCCTCAAGACATTGCTTGTCCAATGCTCAAACTTTTTGAGAGTGTCGATGAACACGTTCATTGTGAGTTCCTCAGCAGAGTTTCAATTCAATCCAAACGGGGGTTTGGTGCTATGGTCATCCCATGCTCTGTGATGTGTCAGCCTGTGCACACTGAGCACTGGTCAACGGGAAAAGTTGACATTTGGCCCCGGAACTAAACAAAATGGGGCATTTTCATCACATTGGTGTCAAAATGATTGTTTGACATAACCTCGGAACTCCTGAAGGTTCAGCATGAAAAAAAATAGCCCAAATGCACTGCTAAAGTGAGAGAGAAAAAGTTAAGGCGGCAGATTCCGCCACCAGCTCTTCTTGGGCTGAAATTGAATATTCTGGATACAAGGAACACCTCTGTCATACTTGTCATGAAAAATGATTATCACTACAGTGCTGGTACTCTATAGCAAGGTAGTCAGCCTAAACTATAGTGTGTTCCATTTTATTTTTCAATTGAACTTGTTAATGACTGGTAACCACATAGCAAAGCATATTATCTGCATGTACACAAAAAAGCCCAAGACCCAGAGGGAGAAGTCTAGCAAAGCAACATAAACATGTAGTTCATAGGCACAACCAGTACATCCAAAATTAACTCAAACACTGAACATGACAAACGCCACATACATGTACACAGGAAATCCTCAACAAATGCAAACTACATAAACCCAAAGCAATCAGGAGAGAAAAACAAATGAATTTGCTGGGCCAACAGGCATTCATTAAATCTGGAAGAAACAACCACAAAAGCTAAGAGGGATTAAAGCACACATACTCCTGGACAAACCTGGCCAAATTCAAGCTGAAATTACGGTAATTTACTGACCAATCATGCCCAAGACAAAAAAAAAACAAAGGATAAAGCAGTAGACGAAGACAGTGGGTGGTTTAAACCCACTCTCCAATGAGCCTGACATTCTGAAAATCGATTCCGAAGACTAGCATTTTGTAACAAAGGAGGCAAAAAACTGACCCTTGGCCAAATTATGTAAAAGGAAACACAGTTTTACCTTAATTATCATAACCAATTTGCTAGGATACTTTAGCAGAATGCAAAGGGTAAAGATGAACAAAAAGGGTGTGTTACTGTCTACTTGGGAAAGAAATTATTCTGAAGTATTAAATCATCAAAACATGTAGTTTACAGGGAAAACCTCTACAGATAGAGCATGGATGATATGCATTTCATAATATGAATGTATGAACGTTATAAAGGAGACAACGTTAATGACAAATTTGATATGTAATTATTTATTATTAAAAATGGATTACAACATGTGGAAACATAAGAAACAATCTTGTCATTCTTTAACTGCGGGTTTATAATACGAGGTATTATCAATTACTAAAGAAAAATGGACCACACAAATTCTTACTTTCAAAATTCCATAAAATTAACAGCAAGATTTCATGCTTTTTAGGAGGAAGAAATTCAGTGAATATGCTTAACACTGCAGGGGACCAAAGTCCATGATGACACTATGCCAGATTTAGAACTGGGGCTGACTTGCCAAAGGTTCAGTCATTTTGCCAACATTGCTTTTAACCTCTCCTAATGGACAACCTTCAGTTTGCTCCCCGATTTCCACACAATGCAGACAGTGACATCTGACAACTTCTTGATACTCAACCAGGGCCCTTCCCAATTAAGTTGCAGTTTGGGGAACCATGCTTTTTCTTTGCCATTATGTGAAGCCACACAGATTGGCCCTCTTTTAACCCATGCCCATATGCTCGCCAGTGGTAATTCCGCTTTTGCCTCTAGGCACCATCCCGTGACAATGCCGTGCCCTTTTGTGGACATTCTGCATTTTGAGACGCAGTATTTCCGCAAAGTCTGTAGTTGTGTCTGCCTCAAATTTGGAACCTCCCCTCACCAGATCCACGAGGACAGTCACCACCTGTCCCAACATCATTGTGGTCAATTAGCATTGCCACATTGTTGACCAAGAATTTGTCCAACTCAACCAACTCAGCACTCCTTCACTAATGTACATGCAACTCTGCAGTAGCATCTGGAGGTGGGAATGCTTCCATGCACTTTAAGCAGTAGTTGCAACAAACCACAAGTCCCAAGATACCATTGTTCATCCTGGGCTGTCTGTTTGATGCTCTCCAACACCCTACAAAATTTCCAGGCAACTGTACAACTCTGCAACACCTGCTCACCTCTGACCAACAACACTGCACAGGGAGTGCACCACAGAGCATTAGGTTCCATCTTGGCCTGGTACATCACCAAGTCACGTGCACTCACCTTACTAAATACACTTGTACATGTATCAGTTCTCACACTTTCCACTAAGTGTGCATTGTATTGCAATTCAAATGCTTCATTACAAAGGACTGCCCTATTCAATTGAAATTCCCCAAGAAATTAATTCAACATATCGGGGTGAAATCTGAGGAAACAGAAAAATCAGGGATAAAATATGCCTCTTAAATATGTCCCTCAATCCTGCATTTAAACAATTTATTGCACCGTGTGTACTGCCAGTATCATTGCTTGTTGATTATTCCAGTTTCCAATAACAGTCTTTTTCCCCTTTGCAGCCTCTTTTTCCACCCAACTTTCGAACCACAAACATTTCCACAGATTTTTCAAGCTCTGTCAAGTGAAAGATCTCCACCAAGATTGATGACTTTTAAAGTCAAAAGTTGCACAAGTCTTGCATTCGCTTTCATGCAACATTTGGAAATTACCAAGTAGAAACGTCCGTACATCCTAAATACATTTTTCCAAACATCCGGACAAATCTCACCCCTGGCATACCTTTTCTTTCATCCAGGCCTGAAATTCGTCGCACTCCCGGTAAAATGAGAAGAGTTTGATGGCATCCTCGAGGTAGCGCTTCCGCGAGACGGCGAGCTTCTTGAGCCGCCTGTAGGTGCCATCGATGCCCTGCTGCCTCAGCTCAATGTTCTCCTTATCAAAATGATTGGTTCTTCTCACTTTATTCAAAGCAAAGAAAAACTGGTATGAGTTCACTTTCAACATTGTTTCTTCAAAGATGAAACTTGACTCCCTACAGTAAAATATAAAGAAATACACGGTTGATTAACTTAAAATTGTGTCCTTATGCACAGTATGTGAGGTAAAAAAATGAAGATTTTAGAAACAGAGCAAAATTGCAATCCCAATAATGCCACTCATGAAACCCCTCGCATAATGAACCATTCATTCAGTTGTTTAGATCATATGACAGCTAATTATCACTTTTTTTACAGCCAACTCCACAAAGGGGCTCAAATCATTAAGATTGAATTATTAAATTTCACTGCAAAACACTGTACTAAACAGACTTTTTCTCGTTGGGTGGTTTTAGCAGAATGAGGCAATATTAACTCACAAAAAAGTTGAGATTATAAAGATTGTACTTTCAAATCCTGATACAAACAGTATACTAAATGGCCAATTTTCTCCATGGGTGTGTTTGGCAGCACGTTTGCCTGGAACCGTCAACTCACGGCTAGACTTTCGAGACAATGACGTGCCCCTCCCCGCCGAAATCTTCCTCTTTCTCTTGACCATCTCCTGCCGCATCTTGGTCTTGCGAACTCTGACCGTCTCCGGCACCCTGACTCGCTTCTGCACTTTCTTCTTCACAACCTTGGGCTGAGTCTCCTTGACGTAGTTGGCGGGGACGAAGCCCTCTTGGCCTGATGCTTTACGGATGTTCCACCAGTCGGCGTTGGTTTTTTCGACCAGGATCAAGATCTGCACAAATTCAAAAGGCATTCAGTGAACCACAACAATTGCTTTAACAAGAAGACACTGCGTAAACTTCACAGGCACCTTGTTATGAAAGAACTGGGAAAAGAACAAAAAAACCCAATTCATTAGTTTGGGACCCTCAGAAATTAACTTGTTTTCAGCAATTGTCAACTGTACATATACATTTTGGTATGCGTTTTCCCCCAATCAACCTTTGCATATTTCAACTTTAACTGCTCTTCACAATGATGCAGGTTGCGGTCATAAGTGCTCCCGTCAGGGTAAAGATTGGCTAGTTCAAGGAAGTTTTTCTTAGAAACCTGCCAGCCATGTTGTGGTCTCGGCACCAATTTTTAAGCAAAACTCTGCTCTCACTGGGTGCTACGGTGGGGTTGCATAAATGAGCATGCAGCAGCCCAGTTTCCAGCTTTGGAAACGGGGAGAGGGGCGACAATGCCAGCTAGGGTGGCACATTACAAGAACAGATCATTTTGATGCTTACATGGTTTTCGCCAATAGGGGGAGCGGGTGTCAGCTGCTCGCCAGGGGCCCTTATTAATGGGCCTGGCATGCAGCTCAAGCATTGGATATTTGTAAGGGGCCAGTGTGGAATCTAATAAACGCGTAACACCCAGAGTGGAATGCAGGCAGGCACTTTCAGCTCTGTCCCTACAGAGTTAACAACTTTACTCAAAGATTGTCTGAAGGAGTATAGGGCTTCACAGAAAGTACTGTGCTGACATGTCCACACATAGCTAGCATAGCTTAGTGAGGAACTACACTGAAATAAGTATGTTAAACACAGCATTATATGTAATGCAATCTCCCGATTAACTTAATCTCATATGGGCAAGAACAGGTGTACAAGAAGAAGTGGTCTTACCTCTCCTTTTGATACTTTCAGACCTTGCCCTGAGAATGCGTAGGCAGCCTTCACCTGTGGGTAAGTCCTTTCTTCCACCACCTCCTTCACAACCTCTTTCTCAACCACCTCTTCCTCCTCGACCTCATAAGGCACCTCGACAATTTCGGTTACATACTCCTCCCCTTCTGCAGGGAACGGCTCTGGTGCATTTTCTGCTTCCGCTAAAGGTTCAAGTGAAAACTGGAGAAGAAAAACACTGCACTGTTCAACCAAACTGCACTGTTCTGACCAGTGAGTTATGGAGCTCCTTTGCAAAGAAGCAATCTGCAGAGTTGTCCTTCCAGTCAAAATCAGTCAAACGACAGATGATATGTACAAAATATGCAATACATTACAAGCCACTGGCGGGCGCCAACTGCAAGCCACAAATGTGTCTATGACTGACCTTGCTGTTCATGTTGGCGTCCACCATCTCCTTGGCCTGCTGGCTGAGCTTGAGGATGTCGTCCTCGTAGGCGTTGATGCTCTCCATCAGCGTCAGGTGCTTCTGGAGGAGCGTCTTGGCCGACTCGGGATCCTTGCCGTAGTCGTCGCTGCACACCAGGGGCATCTTCTCTCGCATCCAGGACTCAGCCTCATTGGTATCAATGTAATACTGTGAGGACGAAGGGACAGTGTTTCAAAAATGAACTTCTTGCAATTTAAACACTGCAGGATGAAGCAGGGTCGTGAAGGGATTTCATGAAGATGGGGACTTGAACCAAAGCTGAAGATATCAATTACAAATCTTCAAAAGAACTTCCCTGCAAGATGGCTGCTACGCAAAGCCTCTATACAACTGAAAGATGGTTAAAGAGAGAACTATGGAAACAGAATTTCTTACTATTTAAAGATAGAACAAAATAAAGCACACTTGTATTGTTAAATATTCTGGAGGCATACCTGGTGCACACCCCCTTTTCTGTTTTTATCTGTGGAAATAGCCATTCCTTTATCTGTTTTTCTTTTGCTGCCAACTGGTTCTATACAAGTTTAAGGACAGATGTCAGCACTGAAATACTGTATATCTCGTATGTCTGGGTTCAACTAACCAGCTCATTACCCTGTGACAAAGACACGTACAACCTGTTAATACCTGGTGTGACTGGGCAGCTTGCTCTAGTCGGTACTTCCGTGCCTCGGCGAACTCATTCAGTCGAGCCCACTTCTCCTGCAGCTCATCAATCTGGGCCAGGATGACATTGCTGCTGGGGTGTCCTGCCCTTGCCAGCTCCTCCCCTGTCTGCATCACGCCTTCGATGATCTGCTGCCTTCCAACAATCTCCAGCTCCAGTGCCTATGTAAGTGCATGGAGCATTCACACGTTCAAAGTACTGCATTCTAATTGAGTACTTAATAGCAAGTATTTTATGATAGCTTCAGAAGTGTTTACAGCTCTTCTTAAGTACATCAAAAATATTCACGTCTTAATTCATGTCGGTGTATGACCACAAAATGCCTAACCTACAACACCAAGCAGTAACCTAGCTGAAATCCAAGACTAACTAGGTATCCAGTCAGTTCAGTCAGTATCCTTTCTTCAACCTTTAGAATTCTCACAACGCATTCCTCTTCTTTTCACAAATGCCTGTTTTCAGTCTCCAGGATGTCATGCCCTACTGTGTACCTGTGTTTCATGCCAGTTTCTATAATAATAGCCAAACAAGTGATGTAATTTGGGCAGAATCTCCTGTGCTTAGGAATATACTTCTTTTACAGGCAGCTACAAGTTTGATGTCCTTTATAACACCCCACCACAGGTTCCATATGTTGATTGGCCAAGAGAGCCAGTCACATGACATTCACAAGCCCAGGTTGGACGACATCTGCATTGCATTGTGACTAACGTCCAGGGTATGAAAGTCCTCCTACTATGCAAAATATTTTCAACATTTTTTTCTCACTTTTTTACCTGACAAAGACAGCTCAAAATGTCATTCCCAAGTGCCTTGTATCCTAAATTCCATAAATGCTGTGTTGAAGTTACTAAATATGCCCACGAACAACGTATTTTGCAGGAAATTCTGCAAAATTCCACGCTTCCTGTCGCGATTCCTTAACGACCTACGTTCGTAAGGTATGCATTTGCTCATGCCCGAAATGGCCTTGAAGCTTGGCCCGCACCCCGCATTCTGTCAGTTATGCATGTTGTCTAGAGCTAGGTCTAGGTCTTCGCTCAATTACCAATACGTGGAGACACACAGACAATAGACCTAGCCGTATCTTTGGAAGCCCATTCGGACACGGCCCTACCTGCGACTTCGTCACGCCCACGACTCTTCCGCACATGCATAAGGGACACTCGATTACCATGCATTTCGCGCATGTGTGAGTTCCCGTGCTAGACGAACGTGTATCTACATGTAGATCGCGATCGCAACAGAAGCGTGGAGTTTCGCAGACTTTCCTGTGAAATACGTTGTTCACAGGCGTATTTAGTAATTTCAACACAGCATTTATGAAATTGGGGATACAAGGAACTTGGGAACGACATTCTGAGCTGTCTTTGCCAGGTAAAAATGTGAGAAAAAACTGTTGAAAAAAATCTGGAATAGTGGGAGGACTTTCATACCCTGGAAGTTAGTCGCAATGCAATGTAAACGACATCCAACCTGGGCTAGACATTCACGAGTTAGTTATCTTATTGTGCACAGCCAAAAGAACTACTCCCCTTACCAACCCACAAACTTCTTGCATAGCAACCAGAATTCTATGCAAATAGATATGACTATGCTTGTTGAGCATGTACAGAGCTGGGTGAATTTTAAACAGATTTCTGGTTCAAAAGGGAATAAATTTTTATTGTATTTAGATTAACATAATCACTTGCTTCAATCAAGCAGAACCTTTGAGAAGGGTGTTCTAAATCAATTACTGATTGCTTTATCTCCTGGTGTAGTAAAACATAGCCTCTTAAGGTGATCCAGAGAGCACCTCGGGAGACATTTTACTACAACACTCAAAGCAGTCAGTATTTGTATAATAAGTTTACAATCCCTACCAAAAATAGCAAAGTGTCAAGGTCAGAGCAGCACGCACATAACAATGTATTAAAATTCAGAACATGTGCCTCATTTATTTTTCAATAATTTAGACTACAGGTATTTCATATGTTTCCCAAAATATAATCTCTAATTTGACCTCCCAGGATGAGTGCACCAATCAATTATAATTTTCAGCAATTTTCCCCATGCTGCAGTTTGGGCCCTGAATCGGCAACCTCAGAATCTGTGTCTTTAACTCTTTTTCCCTTTCAGACTTTTTAAAATCTAGTTTTACACTGCAGCTACAGTCTTTTGCTTGTGATCATCACCATGGAAAGGCAGTATTGGAGAGTCGAGTCCATCACATAGCCCCTGCTAATCCTCTCAAGACTTGACTTAATCACAATTCCATCACAAGCCATTTGGTCTTGTGCCAATTCACAAGCTATTCAACTTCACCTGAACTGTGACAGCAACATTCTTCTGTCATTGTCATGCTACTTATGACTGGTCTTGGACTAGGACTCGTGATGGACCCGACTACAACACTATCAAAAGGTTGCATTATGGATTGTCAAGTAGTTTTCTTAGTGCACTGTTCCTGTCATGAACTCACTGCATGTTTCTGCTGAGCATTGATGACGCTTCTCAGGTCCCGCCCGGTCACCATGGACTTGGCAATGCGCTGCTTCTCTGTCAGCCATGACTCCTCCTCCTCGCCGTCCCGCAGGAACTCAAAGAACTTGAGTGACTCCTCCAGCTGGGCCTTGCGCCTCATGCTCAGCTTGGTGATGCTGAGAGAGATGGTGAGGGCGCAAGGCACGGCGGAAGCATCAAATGCAAAGGACACAATCAAGAATGCATCAAACTATCACGTGGAATACATAATGTCACCTTAGCCACACTGCAACTGTGTAGTGTAAGCCTTGGTAGACTGAGCAAAAGAAAAAGATTCAAAAGCTCATACAATGTAAGTTTGGGGGTACAACCTTTGAAAAATGAACCTTGCTGTCAATGAATTAAATAATCACACAAGATTTATACAAGATAATCCAAATTTATCCAGGACTTAAAAGAGATCTTAAAAAAAAGTAAAATGAATCGGGGCTACGCCTTGCTGGGTTCTGTCCAGCACTACTGGATCCATTCATACTCGGGCCGCAGGGTTGGCTTCCTATGACAACTTCACTGGCACTTTCCGTCAGTTCATCTCGAAGCATGGTTTCATATTGTGCCACTTCCTGCAAGGTAGCTTCTACTTGAGGGAGTTTTGGTTTCCCTCTTGTCAGAACTGACTCCTTCAGGCTCTCTTTCAGCAACATATCATTTAGCTTGTCCACATGCAACATACTACAGTTACTACTCTGCTTCAATTTGATGCGGACTACCACTTCCCTCCTAGAATATTGAAGCTGGGGGGCACGTTTTGCATTTTGGCAGGGTTATGCAGCCACACTAGCTCCCCTCTTTTAGAACCACCTCTGACCCCATCTGGTCATTATTTATTTTCTACCTGTAGGTGCTCTTGCCCGAGCACTTCTCTCACTCTTTCATGAGCTCTTTGCATACTGCTTTGCATTTCTTCTGCAAAGTCTGTCTTGGTGTTGTTTTGGACACCTGGTGGTCAGATCTACAGGTATATCCCTTGTCAATTCTTGCAGTGTGCACTGATATGCGCACAGGAGCATCTCATCCCAATCTTTCTGCCTCCTCTTTAGATTGTTCAAAACAGCCACAGTGTTGGAAAGTGTCTTGTTAAATCTCTCAGCCACCCCATCTGATTTGGGACTATACATGGTCATTCTGATCTTTGTCGCATTAAGCATCTGGACCATTTCTGAAAAACCTGAGATTCAAAATTGGTGCCTTGGTCAGAGTGCAACCTTTGTGAAACACAGAAACCAGCATACAAACTCTTGCACTAACTTGAGTGCTACTGTCTTGGCAGTATGCCTCTGTCCACGTTGCATGGTTATCTCCTATCACTAAAATTTAGTGAGTGCCACTGGCCAGAGCAGGTCTATGGCTACCCTCTCTACAGAAATGCCCACTGACTCCTTTTTTTGTGAAGCACCCACTTCTGAGACTGCCAATGGTCCCAACTTGACCAGTATGACCAAATCAGGATGGTTCTGGGGCACATTCTCCCATTCAGGGTGACACTTGCCCTTTGGCTTCTACTGTAAAACCAAAATTCAGTCGTTTCCATGAGTTGAGCTCTCCTAACCTCATTCCTGGAAATTGTTGGCTCAGCTACTATGCCCCTCACCGAAGGGCGGTTTATGTAAAGAAAATACATCCTTAACAACATTTCAGTTAAACTGAATGAAAGGTGCTTCTATTTGGACAATCCAACCAGGAAAGGGGGGGGGTTAACTCCACTACAGCAAAAAAAAAATGTCACAATGCTTCATTCAAAATCAGGACACCTCAATACTTTGATCTATTCCCTTGAAGTTTGACTAATTAAAGTTTACTATGAAGGGAATTGTTGACGTGTCCCACCCACATGAATGCACAATCACATACTGTAATTGTAACTTGAAGTGTCCAAGTATCTCCAGCACAGTCCTTCAGGGCAAATGACAAAATCCCCCACTCCTTGAACCATCAATGTGCTCTACTTGTCACAGGGTGATGCGATGACAAGAGTCAATGTAGTGTGGAAGTCAGTATAATCTTGAGCTAGGTTTGAGGTCAGAAGCTATAGAGAAAGTCTGAAGAGTCTGCACAGTCCTGTTTCCACTGGATTGCTCCTTTATGAACCCATGTCTTCCTGAGAGAAAAAGACTTTTGGAACATGCCATTCCTGCATTAGCATGTGTACAGGTGGACCAATGTTCCCATTTGGGAAAGTCTATTGTTAAATGTGCATCCAGTCACGTGCATAACAAATGCACTTCACCAATGGGAAGAGATTTGGCAGATTCAAACATGAGGTGTCAAAAAAGTTTTTTAAAGTCCATGCAGATTTACAAAAACTGAGGTTATTTCATACATACACAGTCAAAAGTTAAAGGACCATCCACACACAATGCATTCACCTGAAGAAAAGCCAAAATGAAGCCAATCAATCAGGGCAAGCTGTGTCTATTTTCAATGTGTAATCCGATAGTATTTTGGGTTAAGCATCATTTTGAGCACCATGGGTTTATACGCAGATCCGGGGTGCCCAAAATGGGACAAAAGAGCTGGTCTGTGTCACAAAAGACCCCACTCCGGACAAAAGACCTGCTGCTGGGAATTGCCATCATTTTTCAGCTTGCATTTTACGAAGGTAATCCGTCACTGTTTTTAAACAGTATACCACTGTTTTGGGCATAGCGCGCCTGCGGATTAGCACTGTGGACAAAAGTGCTCCAGGGCCCCATTGATGAGTGACACAGCACCGCTGCATGCTTATCCAGCCGCATTTGAAAAGACACCACTCACATTCAATGGGGACAAGGGCTCTCTACAGGGCGGCAGGCCTGGATGAAATATTCAGGAGTCATTGAAGGTTACCTGTCAGCTTAGAGTAGCCACCAAAGAGTCATTCGTGTGGGTGTAAATGTCCATTAAATTAATGAAAAGATGAATTTTTGAAAAATTTTGAAAATAGAAAATCTTGAAAATCACCCGTATGTAGGCACTGCATTTTTAAAAGCACCTGACAGCAAGAGGTTGAACAGCTATTTGACATGATTTGAAATATTAACAGTCTGATACTTAGTGGTCCCTCCTTTATTTCTGATTACTTAGACTAGCTCTTTATACCCATGCTGCCTTACAGACAAAATGTCATACAAGACCTGTCTTTGCAATAAACTTCATGCAAATGGGCTCACAGCACAACTCTAATGTTATCACTCCTGTGAAAAACATCTTATGTAATCATTCAATGAAACAATGTAATGCAATGTAATGAGAAATATCAACAAAATTCCTGGTCTTAAATTTTTACAAATGACTGTACAAAGTGCAACTCGAGTTAACTGTTTATTTACATTTAAAAACAACACAGCCTTGTTTATATTTTCATGCAAAAAATTCCAAATATATATATTAAAACTACAGATATTTCAGAAATGTAAACAAACACAAATTAACTCAATAAACTCCATTACAGGGACAATCCAACTATCAGAAAGAATCCATCAAACATGAAAGGATTACAACATGACATCAGAACATAGGAACCTAATATAAAACTTCAATGAGTCATTTGATCTTAATTATCATTAAGAAAAGAACCTAATTTCACTTCTGCATCGTAACAGTATTTGAGTGCAAGGATTCCTGACGTTATGAAAATAAAACTTCAGTGAGTCACTTGATGTTAATTAACCTTAAGGAAAGAATCTAACTTTAGTTCTACACCTACACGTAACAGTATTTGAGTGCAAGGATTCCTGACGTTATGAAAATAAAACTTCAGTAAGTCATTTGATCTTAATTAACATTAAGGAAAGAATCTAACTTTAGTTCTACACCTACATGTAACAGTATTTGAGTGCAAGGATTCCTGACGTTACAAAAATAAAACTTCAGTGAGTCATTTGATATTAATTAACATTTAGGAAAGAATCTAACTTTAGTTCTACACCTACATGTAACAGTATTTGAGTGCAAGGATTCCGGAGGATATGAACTCTCGATTGGGGAACCAGGTTTCTACATCTGAAGCTGAAGACAAATACTGTTTCCATGAAGATCATCATCTGGTGTAACCCTAATGTCTTCCTCATTAACTCTGAAGATGGATGAGAATCCTCATTGATTTGAAACAGTGGTTCCTTTTCGTCAATTTTTTGATTTGCTCGTCTCTTCCTCCCCAGTTTTGTTGGAAGGCACTGCTGAAGTACTCCACTTGGTACCATGAGTTACATGTACATTCCTTTTGCCCAGTGACACATGGCCTGTTGTTCACAAGGTGTGGGTTCAACTGGACACAGCGCGCCATCTGACTATCAGCTACAATATTTCCGGATGGATGCAGTGTTCCTGGAGAACTTGGACAGTGTGCATGTGATCATTCGCAAATGCTCCTTGCAGGGTTCTTCCTCCATTCCAGGGAATAATGTATAGACCTTCTGCTCCTCTACAGCCAGGCGTGGAGGAGGATCAACCTCTTTCTCTCTGACGAAAAAATTCATCTCCAGCTAGTCAGTAACTGTCAGTTCTGGAAGAATAAGTTTATTGCTTCTTCTAAGCTCCACTGGTTCTGCCGGTAGCCGTGGATATGTTCCTTATCCCCAAACATAAATATAAACGCAATGAACCAAACGAGAGGATTAAGGAAAACACGAAAAACGACATAATACTCAAACTTTATTTGCTAACTTTACTACATGCTGACAACATAAATTCCCTACCAGGATATTAAAATAGTCCAAGTTATTTCATCAGTGCAGTAACCCTCTCCTTAATTCGGTTAACCAATGTCATCTGAAGCTGACTCGGAGGTAAGAAGCTAAGAAAAAATCTCTAGCATCCAATCAAAAGTGTTTTTCCATCACCATTTCATGACATCGTTGGCCTAAGATGGGATGTAAGGGCCTGGCTACCAGGAAATTATCATACATAACACTGATCTGAATATTCATTAGAATAACTGAATGTTGTGAGAATTTTCCACAATCGTGCACTGCACACTGTAATGCAGTTCGTTGCGTGGGTGCAGTTGATTTCAGTGAATTTTTACCACATGCCTTTCATATGTTATATGTCATGCAAAGCACAGAGAGACTAGATGTACATGTAGATGTACATGTAAATGTACATGTGCAAGTACATGTCAATATTCATCCTGTACAAAATCTCTTAGTTTACTTCCCTTTTCAAAAGAATCCCCCATAAGCAAAAATTGGAAAGAAACGGTGACTGGCCGATGGTGGAATTTCATTTAATCGTGCAATAAAATCAAGGATCAAGCGACTTGCACCCACTGTACATATGGTATGACTGCAGCCTGGAAGGCAACAGAGCACTTCCAATGTTCACTGCGCTTTGATGAATTTCAGTTTGGTTCAATCGGCAGTTCAACTGCAGTGTTAGCTCTAACTGAACAGAAAAGTGCTAATACATGTATTTGGAAGCATTTCCAGGACAATGGTAACCGTCACCTTTGGAACCAATGTTCAGAGGAAAGGAATTGCTACCACCAGTCCAAAACATGAAAAATAATTTGTGCCCTGAGGTAGTAATATACTTTGTCCTATCTTGCATCCAAAAGTCCTCATAAGGAATAGGTAAGCAAGAAACAGACTATTAACATGAAGCTGGACAACTGACCAAGCATTCTGTTCATGGATGGTAGAGGTGGGAGGGCGAAGTCCTGTCTGCAGGGAAAGGAGTTCAACAAAATAATTACAGGCTCAGGAATTATGGATAACTCCAGCAATCAACAAAATGTTGCAGTTTTCATAATAGTTGCCACCGGTCATTACTCAACAAAGATACGGGCCAATTCCTTGATGTCAAAGGAATAGCTACAGTTCGCAGAAATGCTAAACATGCACACAAGAAATAACAATACAGGCAATAATATCAGTTTATTTATTAAGTGTAAGTTTTATGAATATAACATCCAAATGAGCTCAACGACAACAAAAAATGAAATATAAAAATACAAATGCAACCACATCAATTATTATTAAGCTGTCAATCCACCCTGAGCAGAAGCACCCATTCATTGGTTGAAAACAGCCACATTGGTCTGGAGTGTTCATATTGTTGGTAGCAATGCGACTTCAAAGTTTGCATTTTATAGTCGTTCCTGATCCAGAGATGGGTAGTTACAACCACAGGAGCCTCCAATGCTAGGAAAATTGCGCCCTCTCTTGGCCCAGCTCAGAGCTCATTAAGCTTTAAGTCCAATTTTAAAAAATACTACCAACTGTTATGGGATTGCTTCCTAACAAGTATGAACCAAATCTGAACCAAATCTGATGAACTGGGATTTGTTGTAGGATTCTAACATCCTAAGACTCGTGCCCGTGATGTAGTTGATATACAAAATTCTAACAAGTGCAGTCAGTCTCTTTGGATATTCCAGGCTAACTGGATCTGGCTCAAAAATATTATCACGAAAACTAAATATTACGGTAAAATTCTGCTTCACATTACTTACAAAGTAATTGGAAGAAAAAAAATTAAATCATATGGTGCATTTTATACAGATATAAACAACCAATGAGACAATGCTAATTCCAATCCAGCCATAATTAATTAACTACATAGTGTAAAGAGTGTAAATGGTCTGAATAAACACAAATGAAAAGATGACGTACGAGATTATTAGAAAGGGGATTTAAGAATTAAAGTTATGATATGGGATGACTGCATAGCGGGCGGAGACAGCTGAACTGCAGAGCGGGTTGTCCAGCTCAGACCATCCAGTCCTACTGGTATCCTTCTTGCAACAGTGTTGTTGTTGTTTACAAGTACGGAGATCGGGGAAAACATAGGTGGAGAAAACACAGGCGATGAAGAGGCGACACTGGTGTTCCATGGAAAATTCAAGGAAAATATCAGGAATCCCTGAACAGGAATGTGGAGATCCAGCAAGGTTGCAACGAGGCAAAAACAGCAAACAGCTGAACACTTTGCAGAACAAGGTAGAAGGGTCTGCCACTAAATTTCCAATGGAGAACATGTCAGCAGCAGAAACAGAAGTACAATTTGAACATGCAAGGCAACTCAGTGTTCCATGTACGCACAGCTTCAGGAGGACAAGTCCAGTTGTCAATGCTGCCACCAATTGTACATCATAGAAGTTTTCAGGAGTTCTCCTTGTATTAAGAGAAAGTACTGCCAGTCTCCGAAAGACTACACACCCAATAAAACACACAAATCACCATGTGCACGGTAAAGTCAGTTTTATTTCTAAAGGTACATGTAACTGTTTTTACACATCCATGTTCGAGGCACACACAGTCACAACCCGAACTTGGACCCATGTATGTAGTCAGTTTTTACCACCTAAATTCTAGTGCTAATTAATCTTAACCACTTCCTGCCGGATGGAATTTGCATATGCGGGATGAGTTCTCAGGGCAATTTTCAAGATTTTCCATTTTCAAAATTCTTCACAAATTCATAACTTCATTTACTGGATGCTTACACCCACACAAAAGACTGTCTGGTGGCTACTCTCATCTGACAGGCAACCTCCATTGATGCCCGAGTACTGCAGCCAGACTGCCACCCAGTAAAGAGAGCCCAGATCGTGCAGTGTTACGTAATTTATTCTTATTTCTATTTATCCTTTGTTCCCCAAATGGGCCGAGTGCATTGCTGAATAGCAGTGGTGTTTTTTCAAATGCGGCCAGATTAGCATGCAGCGGTACTGTATCACTCATCACTGGAGTGCTGGAGCACTTTTGTCCCCACTGATAATCCTTGGGGGATGAATGCCGCAAACAGTGGTACACTGTTTCAAAATGACGATTACCTCCGCTAATGCCAGCTCAAAAATGATGGCAATTCCCAGCAGCTCAGTCTTTTGTTCCAAGTACGGTCTTTTGTTACAAGGCCCAGCTCCTTTGTCCAATTTCAGGCACCCCAGCTATGCAAACAAACCCAAGGTACCTGGTACCAGGAACCCCAGCACCGAGTGGTCAAGGCAGGAGGTACATATATGTACATATATATCCTTGCTTGGTTTTCAGGCTGGGCAGAGCTGGCTCAATTACGCACAATATCACGAGAACTACAAGTACACATAACATGCACGGGTAATTTTGCCTTATACCAGTTCATTATTGGCCTACTTCTGGTCCTGTATCCACAGTTAACTCAATAACAGTGCTTTCATGGCCTACTGATGGCCATGTGTCCACAGCTTCTCAAGATAAGTGGGTACATGGCCTATTACTGGCCTCTTTCCTACACTAACTCAAAACCAGTGGCTACTTGACCTCTTACTGGCCATATGACCCACAGTAACTCAAACCACATACTGATATTTCTTTCCTACATCTTTTATTACAGTACCACTCACAGACTCGCATTTTACTTACTGCTCGTAGGCCACATTGAGCAGAGCAACTCTCTTCTTGATGGTCTCGCTCTCTGAGTGGTTCTGGCTCAAGTAGATGTCAGCCTTCTGGTTGACCTGGCCCACCCGGTAGCCCTGGGAGTTGATCTGGGTCTCGGTCAGGGCATGTCTCTGGAGGAGGTCCTCCACCCCCAGGAGATGCTTGCCGCAATTCCCAGACTGCAGACCCACCTGCAAGAGGGAGAGGAGAACAATAGAAAAAGTGCTATGAGGAACACCAAAGGCAGTGTTCATTTGTAAATGTAAAACATTTTGTGGCGATTTTCTCTTCCAAGAAAATAAATTACTTAGCAATAGAGAAGCGTGCAGGAGCGGCCCACACGTGGTGGGAATGCCAAGGGGCAGCGTGTTCTCTACAGCCTAGGGGGCATGTCCGTTTGTGGAAAGCATATCCACACTTGCAGGCAACCCTATCGGACAGACAACTAGCACGCAATGCAGAGAATAACTTATCTCATCTGTTTATTCAATAAAAACGTAAGGACGTACATGTACCTCCTAAACTGTGACCTCAGTTACCTAAGGAAGCAATAGGACCTCCGCTAATGACCCAAAATAACTACTCCACAATTTATCTGTTTATTTTCCTCCTTAAAATATCTAAAACCAACTGAGCCACAAATTACTGTGCACGAACTAAATCCAAGCTAGACTTGCCCTAAATTAATAGGTCAGAGAAGTGTCTAGGTGGAAATAACACTAATTCTTACTTGCAGATCGGAAAACTCAATCGTCTTGCCCAGCGCACAGTAACCCACATCAAAATAAGCATAATGGCAAGTGACCTAGTCTAAAAATTCACCTAGCAACTTTGAATAAACCAAAAACAGCATCGGTGTGATTGATTTTGTGATTTTGAATGGAATGTGAATCTGGCTCCTTATCATGAATATGTATAAGATACAGTAACACTGATGCTTCATACAGTAACACTGATGCTTCATACAGTAACACTGATGCTTCATACAGTAACACTGATGCTTCATACAGTAACACTGATGCTTCATACAGTAACACTGATGCTTCAAACAGTGAACTAACTGCAATGACTCACTGCACAGTTCTATCACTGGATTTTAATCAGATATACAAGCCTGGCAGGCTTGGCAGTCAAGGGGTTTTGCACAGACATCATGGCTCAAGGCTGAGAGCCATATTTCAAAGGCATTTTCGCTGTTAAAGATCAGTATATAACCCCTGTTAATGAAAACATTCTCATCAAAGAGGGCCGCCTTGCATGAAGTTGATTCAAAGTTCCAATTCTTCAAGATGCTACAGAGAACACTTCCAATTTAAACCGGGACCAATGTCAAGGAGCGGCTTAGCTGTGCCAACATTCCTGGACAATCTACATATCTGTGCTTTTACACAAGGGACCAAAGCTTTGATGTTGCTACCAGTAACCACTGAAGCCCATATAAGCAGAAATTGAATTACAACGTTCCTTGACAAAGATTGCCACCCATGATCACAAGCCTGAAGTGCCCACACCACAGTGGACTTTTATAGGGCTTGATTCCTTTAACATCACTTTCATTTCACAGGAATTAAATGGAACTTTAATGTACCAATCCTTTCATTTGCATCATGTTTTCTATACTCCCCATAGAGGAAAAATGAAGCAAAGGTAATAAGAATCCATTAACCTCAATTTCTTTCATCTCTGCTGTGACACTCTCAATCTCTCTAAACATGCCCATCAGGTCAGTGAAGCCGTGCAACACCTGCTGTCGCCTGGCCAGCAGGTCAATCAACTTTTGCCAGTCCCGGGCAATCTTTCGTTCCTTCTGGCTGACCGCCTGGCCTGTGTGGTGGTTCCCCCCAACCAGCTCCTTGGCCATGCGGCTCAGGTCCTCAAAGCGGTCTTTCTGTGAGTTGAAACACCATCAAATCGTGATTTATTGGCTAGCACTTGATGTATGGTACCTCTTTCTACTTTCTTGTTTATAAGTTATACCCAATGGCAAAAAAATAATAAATTTTGATTCAGTCTAAACAAACCTCCTCACTGATGTATTAAGTGAATGAAATGCCTGGTGGTCTGGTCAATCCTCTATCCAAACCAAATCCTTGTAGGAAACAGGAAAGTTTGGTCTTTTGTTTGGTGCATCTGTGCCATTAGACTGTGCTCTGATGTTTGCCTAACTTACCCTGGCCATGACATCAGCCGTGATTGCTTCGTGCCTTTTGGTGGCCGCTTCCACAGCAAAGATGTTGTTGCTGGGAATCACGCTTTCCTTCAGCACACTGGTCATGTCAGCCAACCACGACTCACGAAGTAAGGCCTGAATCAGATTAAAAGATGTTTGGATTGAAATCTCATGTCGGAGTCACATGATGTAGATGAGTGAAGACTGTCCCGGAATTTTACAGCTCAGTTTTGTTAAAACTCTATCCATGCTTATCAAAAGCTAGGACTATCCAAAAATATGGAACGAATTGAAAGAAGGAATTGAGCTATACAATGTTTAAATTGTCTGGCCAATTCCCCACAGATAATATACTCCTTGATTAAAACAGTCCTTGCAGAAAGCATGAATAAATGATCTTGATTAAAAGATTTCAAACTAGAATCCCAACAAGAATGTAATTATTTTCCAATGTGCACACACTCAGGAGAGCATCAAAGCTTCCCTGTGCAGGGAATGAATTGTTACTGCTCCAGTCATTTACTGCAGCTCGGTCTCTGCCAACTTCCTCGTATCAAAATATACAGTAAGTAGTGGCATTAACCATTTCCTGTCGGGTGCTCTTAAAATGCAGCGCCTACATACGCGCAATTTTCAAGATTTTCCATTTTCAAAATTCTTTAAAAATTCACAATTTCATTTAATGGACGATTACACCCACATGAATGACTGTCTGGTGGCTACTCTAATCTGACAGGCAACCTTCATTGACACCAACATATTTCAGCCAGGCCTGCGGCCCAATGAAGAGAGCCAAAAATTGTGAAGTGTTGCATAATTTCCTTTGTTCCCAATGAATGCTAGTGGCATCTTTTCAAACGAGGCTGGATTAGCATGCAGCGGTACTTTATCGCTTACCGATGGGGAGCGGGAGCGCTTTTGTCCACAGTGCTAATCCGCTTTTGTCCACGGTGCTAAGTCTAGAGCAGGCAATGCCGAAAACAGTGGTATACCGTTTCAAAACAATGAGGGATTACCTCCGATAAATGCAAGCTGAAAAATTATAGCAATTCCCAGCAGTGGGTGTTTTGTTCCAAGTACAGTCTTTTGTTACAAAGCCCACCTCTTTTGTCCAATTTCGGGCACCCCGGCAATGTGTACAAACCCAAGGTACCCGAAACTGAGTTCCCCGGCAGCATATGGTTAAGACTGTCTCAATCCTAGACCTCACCTTGCGGGCAAACTTTTCAGCCAACCTCTCCAGCCTCTCCTGTCGGATCAGCTCCTCCCTAAGGGCAATGCCCCGGTCATGCTCGGCCTGCTCGAGCTTGCCCCAGCAACGTTCCACATCGCTAACCAGCTTGCCCTCAGGTGGCATGTATTGCCGAAGGTGGCAGGACTGGACCAGGGCCTGGATGTTGAAGATCGCCACCTCTATGTTGGCCCACTCAGCATACCTACATGTACCGAAAGACTATTCAGTCATTTAAACCATATTGCTAGAAATGTACCGAGAAAATTAGCTGTAATCAGACATATATAAAAAGTACATGTGCCTATTTCCATGGTTACAAAGTGCTCAAGGCGATGTTGAAGCCCATCACAAGTTCCTTCAAGTCCATTACAAATCATCCAGTCTTAAACCACGTCACTCGCTTTTAAGTGCTGTGACAAAAGCACTATTGTCATTGTTTGCTCTTGTACTGAAAGCTGGCCTTGTGAAAGACTTGGGACATGACTTGAGAAAGGACTTGTGATGAACTCCACTGAAACTCTGCTCTAAGGAAATGCAAGCAAAATCTAAGTGTGAATTACAATTGAAAGAAATTGGATAAGTACATCATTAGGATCACAATGCTTCACCACAGTAAAGAAAATATAGACATCAAACGTTTAATAACAAATCCACATAAATTCCTCTCATTGACAAAGCATTGGCATGGCCAGTTAAATATAGTATAACCCGCTACTCCTGTAGAATTCGGCAAATCCTGAGATTTTCTAAAAAATGTCGAGCTATTTGATGCACAATCTCCATGGAAGACAGAAGAGACGTGGCCAATATTGATGAATTGAAGGATTTAGCTCAAGTTTATATTTCATCACAAAAGCTATTTGATATCTGGATATTTTGATTGGACAACACGTGCGCATGTATCTTACGCACAAAACCTTACTTTGGGGGTTTCTCTACAGTTCTGTACTCTTTGAAAGTCTGCATGAGTGCCTGAATGCCATCAAGGGAGTTGGGGAACTTGTGGTCGGCCAGCTGTCGGATCTTGGCTTCGATCCATTCCAGGAGTTGAGACACCATCAGCTCATAGTCCTTGCGCATTTTGTCCACATCCATCAGCTGGCTTACAATCTACAGAAATAAACAGAAATAGTTGCACTATCCGCCCTGAGCTGCAGTGCACCTCCAATTGGCGAAAGAAAGACAGGTGGTTACAAGCGAGTTCTTGCACGTGTTCTGCGTGTCTGCAAAGACCACACGTGCCGCAATAAATTACTTATGCGTACTCAGCGTGCTCTGCATCAAACGCGCATAATACTTGCGTGCCTCATGGCACACCTATGCGGTGAGTACCTAAAAAAACGTGCCCTCTTCTGTTCCACTCGGAGCGAAGAGGAAACAATGCAGGAGTACTTGCTCAGCAAAACAAACCCACAATTCTACACCACCAGTGAAATTTTACAGAATTTTTACATACAGTACGTTTACATCAGGATATTAAACTTGAACAATTTTGGCTTTTTATTTTGCAGGTACATATACCGGTACATGTACTTCGGAAACTGGCTGATCAGCCTTCCGACCTTTGACCTGCCAGACACTGTACTGGCTCATATACTGAGCTACAGTAACCGGCCCATTGATGAAGTCCCACAACAGAAGCAAAGTGTTGGGACATGGATGATGAGGCAGGAGAATCTGGCCGTCAGTCATCTATTTACTTTTCAGCATGGGTGTATGGCTGAGATTCCATAAGGTGTGATTCCCAATTCACTGCTAACAGGTAGTCATGGAGAGACCATCCCAGAAGCAAATTATGAGAAAACAGTTGACAGCGCTTTGTGATGTCATTGACGTGAACAGCATTTTTTAAATATTTCATTATTTTTATGATTATTATTAAACAGTGCTCCTTTGCAAAATGCTTGACGTTTTGTGGGAACACTTACGGATGATGTTGCAACATTTCAGTATGAATCCCACAACACCGTTCAGGATGTGTACAAACCCGAGTTGGAGACCAGCCTAATGCACACCTAATACAGGCGAAGTGGAGCAACAGACTGCCTTGGAACTCACTTTGGCTATTCGTTTTCCTCCCGTCTTCTCTGTTTTCATTTTGGCAAAGTAGTGGTAGTATGAAGCCACGTATGTCATGATAGATTTCTCATCAGGTTTCTCTACATCTACATCTGTGGAAATTCAGAGCAAAGTACAATAATTGGGGAATGGCCCATAAAGTTGCAAGGAACTGCATATATAATGCACGAATTTCACTTTTGTTTTTAATCCTTTCTTACATATGGTAAACTAATGCCTTGGAATTTAAAGTCTGAAGTAAGAACTGAAAGGGTTTCAGACATGAAAAGAACACATTGTAAAGTCAGCCAGGTACGATTTGACGTTTTTTCTTAATGAAGAATGGCAGACTTGCTAAAGATCCAGTCACAAAGCAACAACCTCTTGCAAAACATTGATTTTCAAAACACCATGGTGACCAAGAATTTTTTTTCTTAGATTTTGGGTAACGATAGAGGTTTAAAGGACACCCCACAATTATGCACATGTACGTGTGAAAGAATCTGCATGTACATCAGGACAAATATAAAAGCAAAAATGAAACTCGTAACTACCTGATTCAACAGAAATGCTGATCAGGAAGAGAAGTTCCAGAAACCTATTTTTATGTTACTGTTGATGCTTGGGTGCCTGCCTCTTTTGCCAAATTACTTACCTTCAGCATCCAGGAGGTCAGGGATACCCAGCTGCTCCTTAGCCACCGTGAAGGCCATGTTAAGATTTTGTTCATTACTCCTCTGCACTAGACCCTCAAAAGACACAAGCTCCGGTCTCCAATGCAAACAGAAAACAAGGAAAAGAATGATAGAAACAGTGGGTTTATTTGTATGTGTATTCTACACAAGATGAGCTAAACAGGAAACATGTGCTTTCTTTTGGAAAAATTCTACCGAAACAAACTAAGCATGGGTGTGACTAGAATGGGGTATGGGGGATTTGGGCGGGCACTTTCATCCGAAAGGCAAATTTTGTAACGAAACGGGGCAGAGCACTTATACGCCAAGAACTGACGACTCAATATCAGTGGACAAGGGTTTATTTGAAGCATATCCAAGCAAATTTGTCATTTTCATCACCATCACCTTTTTCATTTCTTTTTCCTGTTTTTTTTTGTTTTGTTTTGTTTAGTTTTCCTTTTATTCTAGGAAGGGGGCAAGTGGCCCCTTGCACCCTCCTCCTCCCCTGAGACACTCACAAATCATAACAGGAGAAAATCTTTTGATTCCGTGTTCACAATGCAAAATGAGCACTGGGTATGCAATTAAATGCATAATTACGCAGGATTAAATGAACAGTTTTTCACCAACTCTTTTTTCACGGTCAATTACCAAAGCCAAATTTACCCAACTTGTGCCTACTCAGTAAGGATGTGGCAATGAATAGCAGGTCAGCCAAGATCAAAGGCTGAGAGCTACACATGGATATGGGAGGGATGAATGTACAAACTATCTACATGTATATCAAATAATTAAAAATACTCTGTGACTTTATTTGACAGGTCTCTGCTTAACAAAGTAAAATCTGATAAAATAGCAGATCTCCATGTGCTCATCACAATTCAAGAATACGTTGTAACTCACAGGCAGGTAGAAATATAGATTATAAATTATATATAAATTGAGAAATATACTATAGCCAGTAACATGAAAACGTAACCTTTCAATTTTTACTTTTCACAGCAAAGGGGCTCTTGAGGTTTCACTTTTCATGTACATGCACAGGTTTCTTGTGGTTTGATATCCTTTTACATATGACACACAAGACATGACAACCTTGGAACACTTATCTTTCACATTCATTTTCAAAGCAATGTTTACTTTCAAAGTTGTGTGAACAAGTAGTTCCTTGTTCAGTTTTTACTGTCACGTCTAGCATGTGCATGTTCTGCCACGTAGGCAAGTCACAACACTTTCATACATTTCTCCACTAATACGGGGCTTTGATACAACCTAGTATCTTACCGTACATGCGTACTGTGAGGACTCCTGACATGGTTAAAAAACAAAGCTGGAGGTTTTTCCTTTTTATTCCTGAATCAAAACTAATGTCAGATGCTGAAATACAGGAATGCGCTACGACTGACAGAAGTGCAGTAACCCCTAACTTCCTTAACCTTTTTACCAGAAACCTGCCCAAAGCTTCCAAAGCCCCCACTTTTCAGGAAACCAGTATGGCACACTTTTTACATTTAACTTGGAAGGAGCATTAGGCCCTGTGTAAAAAGTCACATGGTTTTCCTTTCTCAATCCTGCAAAATCCTACTGAAGTTCTGCACGGATTGTGAAGGAAAAGGTTGGTTTCAAATCAATGAGCAGGAGCAGAGTCATCCTGAGAAATAATTGGCACTGCAATACGCTGTAACACAACATGGTAAAGGAAATTGGGCAAAGTTTGATCAAGCTGCCAAAAAGTGTTTCACGATTTTCAGAGTACACGTTATGACACATGTACATGTATCATCTGCACATCTCGTCCGCAGACTGGGTGACATCCATGTGTAATATTTAATTATATATGTACTACAAAGACTGGCATTCCTGCACTTTCCTCTCGAGAATGTGTAGGGCAGGGCATTGCATATGGGGCACAACATACATGTACATCAGCCCTCTTAAACAGTGTACTGAACAGAGCCCACTTACACTCGGGCTGCATCGGAAAGAACTGGTTGTGGCTGGCAATAACACTTGTATCATTGGCAAGGCTGAGGGCCTAGGCCATTAGCTTCTGTAGTGGTCTACATTACTACATGTACTAGCTTCCGGCCAAACCTTTTCAATGCTGCTTATTAAAATCATTTGACACCACACAGCACCCAACTAGTTCTGGTTTGTCTGAGCAAATGTATGTATAAAACAGCAACGAGCCAGACATCAAACCATAGGCCTACACCAAGTCAATAATGGTGGATGTGCTGAGCTGCAATGTTGAATTCCCCACGTGTACATGTCCAGTGGTGTGCTGTTACCTGGTGTGCACTGTTTATGCTGTTACAAACTCACTTTACAATCAAATGGACAACAAAACTAACAAAACCAAATCTGGGGAAAACACTGGAATAAATTAACAGCCAGGATTAAGGAATCTGTAATGGACAAATAAATTGGGGGTTTTAAGAATATACATGAACATGTACAATTCCCATAACAATAAATGTTTTAAATTACAACATAAATAGCAGCCAATACATGTAAATCTGAGAATTTACACATGTACATGTAGGTGTTGGCATAAGCAGGTACTCTCCAGTACAGGGCTTGGAATCCATAACATTAGTCTGCTGAAGGAAAACTTCAGAAGTGGCAAAGTTCTTGTCAAGTTCTGGTCATCTTGCTGGGACACCTCAGACACTGGGAGCTAGATGAGATGCACAACTGGTGGAAACGGTCAAATTGGTTGACTGCTAGACGGCTATGAAAGAGTGTGACATCAGTCGGGATGGCTAACACCAAGAAAGAGCCAAGTCAGCAGTCGGTCCACAGCCACAGTGGAAAGAGCTGTGCCAGAAAAGATGACGGCAGACAGGGCACTGCTACATGAACACGATACAGCAGGCCATCAACAGTGCCTGATGCCAGATGAGATGGGACAGAACGAGATGGTGCAGCCCCCTCAAAGATACAGGAAGTGTCCCACCACCACGTGTCAGCAAACTGAAGCTAAAATTCCCTTCAGGGGTGAAATTCTGACCCTTTCAATCGTCTGATAGGACATTCCAGCTTCCATTATAGTCGTCACAAACATGTTTGGACCTGGTTGCTAGTGTAATTCCCACTAAGAAGCAGGAAAAAGAAAAGGCTCTCATTACACATCAATACATGTGCACAATGTGTTTACTCGAATGATTTCTTAACACACGTACATAAAGATCATTATCAGAAACATGTAAACAAATGAAATATCTCAAATTCACGTCTACATATTCAGTGGTATTGTGACATGATTTCCAATTGACCCAGTCTAGGTTTCACTTTTTGGGGAAATTTACCTCCACTCTTTTGGGACGTCTCCCAACTTTTAAAACCCTAACCTCTGCTTCAGCCCTTAGAGTTTGATGAGCAATCTAGAGGCTCAGCCAGGGACATGAGGTCATTTTGGCAAATATGTCCAGTGCTATTGATTGGCAACTGATTGGATTGACTCTGCCCTTGGACATATATGTAACAACAAATAGTAACGAAACAGCCTGCATCGGCCAAGATCAATGGGGCTGATTTCATATTTTTGGTTTTCAGTTCTCAAGCATTATTTTATTTACACAACTGAATTCAAATTATGCTCATACGATCAAAACAAGAGCATTCCAATTATGATCCCCCCCCCACACCGACAGCTGCAGTCTCCACTCCCACTCAAATGACATCACTGAAATTATCCCAAATACCCATGGACTACTGGTGCCTAGCTTTGACTCCAAATAATGGATACTGTAAGGCAGCAACTAAGTGTTAGTTTCTTTAAAATACTTGTATAACTATTTTTTTCTTCAACAAAATAACTTCAACATGAAGAAAACTGGCCAAAAAAGCTTACAGATATACAATATAATTAACCCCTTCACGTCGAGATATTTTTACGGCAACCCATCTGGCTGCCGGGTTTATTTTTCCAATTTTGCTAACGGCAACCGCAGACTGTTACATTGGCCACCAGGCCTATCTGCCAAGTTTGCTGGGTCACACACTGCACACAGCCTGGCTCTGCGTAGTCATGAAGCCTGCTGGGGTATTTGGATCCCGTTCAACAAAATACCAGGTACCCAGCACTAGCCTTGCCCACGCGACAACACCAACTACCCAAGGACGCTCGGTCACAGCGGAGAGTGCAGCGCCTGCTAAGTTCACACAGTCTATGCTTGCTTTTAGTGGGCACCGTGGCTCATGTGCCCGCTTCCCAGTGGTCCATGCATGCCCAGCATCAATGCCCAGCCCCAACTTGTACATTGAGCGCACTTCACAAGTTTTTATTTCAGCTAATACCCAGTGAAGATTTCCCGTAAATTCCCCTAATGTTTTTATTTTGCGCAAAGTTTGCTCAGCATTTTCTTTAGCATTTTTAAGTTGGTTTTTTTTTTGCAAGTTCTATTCAATCCCCTTTCTGTATGTAATGATATATATAAACAGCCCCTTCTAAGTAAAGTTTGAACCTTCCTATGAAAACTATCTTTCCAAACTAATCCTCCCCACAATTATAAAATAAACAGACACAAGAAAAACACAAGACCAATTTCTCACTTTTCTTCTTCTCTTGACGACTTGTCATTTCTTTTTCTTTCTTTCTCTCTTCTCATATTTACAATCATTTTATCTTTCTTCAATTTTATTCAAAAAAAGGAACCTTCCAGTAAAAAACTTAGCCAAAAAAAGGAGAGTAGTTGCATTACACAATATCTTGACACGGGAGAAAATTCTTGGGAACAATTTGCCAAAATTGTACATGAATAAGTAAGTGATTCAAGTATGATAAACCTTGAAGGACTTTGCCTCAAAATTCACGTACTATTTCTTGGAATACAGGAAACTTTACATAAATAAGCAATTGATTCAAGTGTGATATTCCTTGAAACAAGGAACAGCACAAAGTGGCACTTCACAAATTTCACACATCACTTTGGTCTCTTTTCTTTTGCTATTTCTAGAACAAACATCACACCATCTGTATAATCTAGCTCGTTTTCCAGTTGGGGGGAATTTCTACAGCAAAGTGTCTTCCTATCAGTCTACCTGGACCAGGAAGACAGGTTGGTCTACCTCTAGATCAATACACTGGCAAATTTGGTGAATGCAACTCTGAAATTTCACTCACCAGCATGTGTCTAATGTCAAAAAACTGTCAGTGCCACCAATTTCCTTATACACAAGATAAGAGTTTACAAGAGCAACATCAAGCAAAGAAAAGGACAGGTTCTTATGCCATTTGATTGATTTTCTGACTGAACAGTGTGACAATGCCAGCTGGTCTGCAATGTCCACACCCTATCATCCCCTCGTTGTAGTCGAGTACACACTTGGGTTTCTCCAAAACGATGCCGTCACGGTTCCGCTTGCCAGTGTCGGCCATCTCGGCTGTGTGCATTGTGGACAGCATACAGACATCTTTTTTGTCTCGCCAGACCAAGGTGAGCAAGCCTTTGTCACTGGAGCAGTGAACAACATCACCTCTCTCAAGTTTCAAGGAGCACAAGTCCTTGGGCATGCCTTGACGATTTTGTATTACCGTCCCAACAGCGTTGGTCTTCTGGTCGTGTAGTTTCAGGTACAGTTCTGGGCTGCTGAACCAGTTGTCCAGGAAAATGGTGTACCCGTTGCCAAGAAGATCGATTTTCATACTTGCCAGTCCAGCAATCTGGTCTTGACCAGTGTAAATCTTGAAGTTCCAGGTGTATCCAGTGGCAACGCCGGTGCTCTGGCAGACTCGATACACCTTGATGCCAAACCTCGCACGCTTCTTGGGGTTGTACTGCTTGAACGTCAGTCTCCCTTTGAATTTCCAAAGGGACTCGTCGGTAGTAATCTTGCTGGACAGAATGGAATGTAGACGAACTTGAACTTCTCAGTCAGTTCGTCTATCACTGGAGGAAGTTGTCATCAGCCGTCCGTTGAATGGACAAAGTCTTGACCTTCTTGGCAGTCCTCACTAACGGTGGTTGCCTGTTAGAATCGCTGTCACTAGTTTCATTTTCTTAACTATGTTCAGATTCCGACAGGAAATCTGAACCACTAGTCGCGGTCAAAGTTTCCTCATCGCTGGAAGACATCATGTAATGCAACTGAAGGGCCGGGAAGCGGCCAGGCAAATATATACCCAGCGCCACAGAAAACGCTGCTTTTCGACGAAACAAATAACCAATTACACTGAACAATGGCCCGTATATACCCCGAGTGCGTGGTGCTGGTGTGCTGCACACGTGTTCCCCGCCCAGCAGGGCCTTAAACAATGGCGCGCACACCATGTCAATGGCCTGCATTCATCACGCTCTGGGCCCACACAAAACGGGAGATTACCCAGGGAATTCAAGCAAAGACAAAGGGGTGTTTAGATGAAAAAAAAACATTTACCAAGTCTCAGGGGATCAACGAACTCTCTAGGTTGCCCCAGATTTCCATTCAATGCAAAGGTCCCAGAAATTACAGGTGTACACTGAATAACAGTTACAGGTGTGGTATGCGGCTGCAGCCGCTTCCCAGTTGATAGACTTTGCTCCAGGTGCGGCTCTTGCCGCTTCCCGGTGCAAAGGGGTTAAGAGAATAAAAATGTCAATACTTATCTTTCCTGTATAAACAGAGCAAGAAGATGGAAAAACCAGACTCTTGCTACCAGGCACAAATTGTCCTGGATTCATAAAAGGCACTTGAGATACACTTTCTGAGAGTTTTAACTACATTGAAGTGTTTTGTTTTTTATTTTTAGCTGTGGAAATTGAATGAATGAAATCACTTATGCTGTGTACAATAAAATAAATATAAGGATTATTTATACAAAGAAATATATAAAACAAGACCAATGAACTTGGCACTTGGTACTAAGATTAGGAAACAGGAAATACCAAAGATAAAGGGGACATGAACAAATTTTTAGGGATCAACATGTTGTCTCTAAGAGTTTAAATACATTTATTCTTAATTGTAATTATTATACAACAAAACCTACTGAATTTATCATCAAGCTTTAAGTTCTTATTAGGAAATTGGTCATCCAACAAGTGTTGTTCATTCAAATACTATATTGTAAAATTTTCTGCAGCTCCTGGCTACACATACCAAAGCCATGCCCCACTAGAGACTACAGTCAACTAGTTCCATACACAAAAATACAAGCCTCAAAAGAAACTCTGAGCAATTTCGAAAAGAGTGAATTCGGCTTAGACTGCAGTTTCACTGGTTCAAGTCAAAGCTTGAACATGTGGTTTCGAACGCTGCTTCAAAATGGATGGATCTGGCAAAACCAAAGTCGAAGCCAATCCACTCATTTCAAAATGCTCTTTGCGCTATTCCGTTTTAATATAACAAAGGAAGATCGGGGTTGACTCCGTTGCTCAACAGCAGATCTTTGCATCCATCTCAATGGCCTCAAGGTAGAATTTCTGGTACTTCATCTGGCAGACAAGCTTCATCAAGAAAAGCTTTGATCAAACATCGTAAATTGTTCGAAGTACCCGCTGCTACATCTGACTCGCATCAGCCAGCCGACCCTGGCAAGTTCAGTGGTTGAGTGGTTAAGACGTCTGCACCAGAAAGTAGGAGGTCGTGGGTTCGAGTCCCACCCGGATCAAGCTTGCGTTTTTTTCCACAAGTTCTCAGATGTACACACTGAGCATTCAGTCGCAAGTTTTTACTGGAGTGTGTTTGGTTTCAAAATTTGCATATAACCGACCAAAATAATGACACAAGACACAGGTTTGGATGTTTATTGAACACTGAAGACATTATGAAGCCAAACAGGAGAATTGAAAATAACACGGTCGGTGTGTAAACACTTTTTCAAATATACATTACAGGTACATGTATACAGGGAATGGAGGCAGCACGTAAACAGCACAGAATACAAAAACGTTGTCCCATTGTGGTATCTGACAGTGCCACAGAGCATAGTACTAATTATTAACCCTAACCCGCCCAAGGGTTGCTGGCCCTAACCTTCCCCATGGGACTTTGTGCACAGAGGCTGTTGGACTTCGTTTTTCTGAGGTATGCCAAACCCAATGCAAAAGCCAACTGTTATGGGCCTACCAGACCTATCCCCGCAGAATTAAACACTTTACTACTGTTTAATTCTGTGCGGTTGGGGAAGGTTAGGGTTAAAGAAAAGAAGGGTTAATTGATGTGCACGTACCTGTGGACATGAATTAATGCATTGAAAGCTAGTCCATTCCTCCAGCTGGTCGTGAAGTTGTGGATGTTGACACCACGATACCTGTCATTCAGAGTCAGAATGTTAACAAGTACAAGATCACCTTGTATTTCTGTTACCCTCAGCCCATGAGGATCATTCTACATGTATAAAGTTGAGGTCCAATTTTTTCATGTCCTTGCACATCTGACATATGATTTTGTAGGTTTAGAAAACAATTTGTTTTTTTTATTTCCATGAGTGATTAAGTAATGCAAGTTACATGCAAATGAAGCCAATATCTAAGATACATGCATTTCCATGTCACATTACACAGGCATGACAGGGTGTGACAGGGACACAATCATTTCAAACATTTATATGACCAAAATACATTATATTCAGTTGGTGTATATGATAGTCATGATACCCTCCATGCGTAACATCTATTGAGTATTCACATATGGTACACGTACGTGAACACAAGTATCTGCTTCAATTTTGTGCAAACAGCATACGCATCTCAACAAGAGACACAACTGCAGCCGCTGTTAGGTCTGTGCAGGCCAAATTTACTGTGCAGCACCGACTCCAACAAATATGGTAGACTGTGCCTATGCACATCAACAAAAAAGTCCCTATCATAATCGGTGCAAAGAATCAACACGCGACTTGTATGCTTTAGAAAGACACGATCCTCACCCTGTCGTTTTTCTCTGACACCACAGCAACAAGGCCTCCTTTGCTGACCGTTTCTCTGTGCTGCCTTCGTCCTGAATGAGCAATAGAACCAACAAAAAAAAGACAAAACAAGAGATTAGAGGCCAGAGCAGACTCCTCAAGTTGCAGGAAGTGGAAAGAGGGATCCAGGAGCTTGGGCCATGTGGCGAAGGCCTTGAGCTTTCCAAGGATGACACTCTTCAGCTTCTCTTATCCAGAAATAAGCCACACTGCAGTATAACAATGGATCGTCTTAATGTAATTACAGTAAAATCTCATTACCGCAAAATTCTGGGGAATGGACAACAAATTTGAGTTATCCAAAATTCGCATTAAAAGAAGGTCCCGATTTCTTTTTAAGTTAAGTCATTATTACGATGAGTATCATAACATGTACCTATACGCTGACACACAATTACCGTAAATCTCCCTACGATGACTTCTGAAATGACATTGTGGTTATTTTATACTTTGGAACCACAAGGTTTGTTCATAGAAAGACATTTTTGCGGAGGAATTTTGTTGTCAATCGGCTGATAAATAACACATTACACGGACTGTAAATCATTTAAGCTGTGTACCTTTGTGTGGCAAATCTTTCTTTTGTGTTGTGCATGTGTGACGCATTGTGGTGGTCCCATTTCTGATACCGCACCGCAACGCAGCGTGGCGTGTGTGGCATACCCAATGATCTCCAATACATTGCCGCAGCCACTGCAAAGAGCCATCAGTTGGCCTGCCAACGCACTGGCTACAATCAGCCCACAGTAACAATTGGGCCAATTCCTTCAAGTCGCATTTTACGGTCACAGTGTGGTTTACGTCTAGATCGATCATCATTGCAGCGCGCTTGTAAGTGTTCCGGTGTGAAAAGATGAAGTGTGCATGTCAGAAATGATTCATAACTAGACCCGCGCTCTGTTTACACTTTCTGGATGTATTTTGGCGGTAGCTTCTTTTGGATCTGCTACACAAAAACTTCGAGGTAAATGAATCTGGCAACGTGAGCAGTTCGAGTTACGGATATGTTTTGTACATAGAAGCCTATTCTTTCGGCGGGAATTAATTATTCTTCGAGTTAAGCGGAGTTTCGAATTAACCGACTTTTGAGTTATCAAGACATATAAACAATCCCATAATGATGCCAACAAGGTCAATAATGTTTGTCACTGAATGAATGTCTCGTGAAATAATTCTGCAATGCTGACAAAGAGGATATGTGTAAATGCATGGGTAGATTTGATTAATTAATAAGCAAAATAGCAGTTGTGAGCAAAATCAAGCAGCTACCTCAATTTGTATGTCTTGAATCTGAAAACGAAGGATGATGGTCCACATCAGGCCTAACGTCAGCCGTGGGTTGCCATCCACGATATCCTCAGATCCAATGCTCTCCAGCCGCACCTTATGAGCAAAAAATACACACGCAACCAGAAGTGAAAGAAAATGCAACGTGATCTGAAACCTTTCAGTGCAGTCAGCCACCGCAGGCCAACCTGTACCTCACACATACATAACATTACTGTTTCTGTGGACATTGCATGGTCAGCGTGTCTAGATTTACGTGTAACTTTCAGCCTACACGTTTTGCAACTAATAAACCCCACTTGAAATTATTGATCACAACTTGTACCAATGCTTCCGTTTATACAGCTTTACCTCAATGAATTTCGAGGAAACAAAGGTAAAAATACAAGGAACATTTCAGTTTACATCAACTTGCTCTGTGTACATAGTCATTCACTGAGAGGACGGTGAGGGCTTCTAGGTGTACACACAAGTATTATTTGGTTACTTTGACTGGTTAATGCTTCAATTCTTTTGGGGGAAGTGTTTCTACATGTATTAAATTGTAAACCCCTGTGATCAAGTGCTAGGGGACCACCTACCGTTTTTGTCTTAAAACCATCAACTCCAAAGTTCTACGCCAAATACCTTTGAAAACTGTGGGATAATACCGAAACCCCCTGATGTACACAGTTTAAAACATTTGTATGTACATGGAGATGACATGAACACTGTATGGGAGATTTGAGTAAAGGGCAATTTCTGATCATCCAAAGGCAGAACACTTTTCTAGTACTGGTGATTAAAACCGTGTATTTAGAAGGAAAAACTCTAATTGTAAGGGCCTAAAAGCTTTTCTGTCAATGAGCGCTTAATTTAAACACAGGGGAAGAACCTTAAAGACTGTTCACAGGGCTCACTTTTGAGGAGAGGAATGTCAGCGCTTTGCCAACATTTTCCATCTTCTGGACCCTGAGGGCACCCTTGTTCGGCCGGCCCAGCTTCTCCCCTGAGATAATCTCAAGCAGCCGGAGGAGAACTTTGCCATCTTGCAGGTCCACAAAGAGATCCTTCACACGCAGATTGGCCTGTTGGCGAGGAGTTTTGGGTACGGTTATTTCAATGTATTTGGGGTGGAAATCAGCATCTTCATCACAGTACAAAAGACATCTTAAATTTGGGGTGTGTTATGGTGACCCAAACCATTCACGTTTTAGCTTGGGTTACTGGTTCAGTCTACTAGCGATTTCCATTGTGCTTGTGTGACATCTATAGCCTGACCACACAAAACCAAAGGTTTCAAGAGTTGGTCCATCACTTGTCCGAAATGGCGGGAAATACATGTAAGAGCACAGCCTCCTGATGACGGACAGTGCACACTGTTTGAAACGTTGAATACCTTCCGGTTCATATCAGAGCCACACGTGCTCACAACACAGATATTTTACATGGTGCTACTGCAAACCAATCACACTTGCTTGCCACCTTCACCATGAAAAACGTCAATCTCACAATGAATATTATTAATCTTCAAAACAAGTGTATTTCGTATCTTCCAATTTTGTTGGGAGATACAAAATGGGTACTTTCATCCAGAATGTGAGAGAGCAGGAGCGGTAAAGAACTTGCAAATGATGTGTGAAAATGTAAACTGTGAACAACATGTACATGTAAGTTGTCTACTTCTTTGCAGTACTTTGTCTCTGTTGGATGACGTTACTTTCTGGTTCAGCCTTTTTGTGGGACACCTCATTGGTTTCTGGTTAGGAGTCACCAAAACTATCTGAAAATTCCAACCTGGGGAGCAGCTCCCTGCAAACTGCACGTATTCATGTCCTGCACATGAATGTGAATGGAAATTAATTTTGCCAAAAAAAATAATTAAAAAAAAAAAGATCATGCAGTTAAGGCATCCTGTGGTATTTGTACATGTACCTGTATGTGACAAAACAATTTTGTTCTTCACTTGAACAAACTAGGCATCCCTTTTTCTTCAACAGCAAAACACTTCCAGTAAGTAATACATATACGGGCATCAGAAGAGAGGAAGGGAAGAGGGAAGGTGGTGGTGGGGTGGTTCAGTCCCATCGGCTCGGTCTCCTCCATCAGTCCATAAGTCCAGGTTGTGGGCAGCAACATGTAACCACCACTATTACATGTAAATAACTATAAATGACACTGGAATGGCTGAGTATAACCTGCAGAGACGTCCACTGTGAACATGTGCACACATGCCCTTGTTTATGGGCAGACAGGAATATTAGCTGTGTACATGTATGTAAGTGAAGGAACAGCCAGGCACAGGATGTACAGTGTATTAAATTCAAGACATTATTTATTCCAGCATCAGTAAAACTGTCGCAAACGTCCATCACCAATTAAAAAATGGTCATTCAGTTAACAGCTGGACAACAATAAGCGGGCTATTAAAAACCGCACCAACTGTACAAACATAAATCACGACAAAATATTATGAATATGATAGGATGTGGTAGCACAATACAAAAAGAAGCAGATAGTGCACAAGTTACGTACAAGCCCAACAGCACACACTTTATCCGCATGCTATACACACAGGACGATGTTTCATCTTCCCACTAGGCACTCATTTCATGTCAGTTTCATTTCATTTAGTTTATTTCATTCTTATCGTGGCCCAACAAGCCAAATTGCAACAAGGTTACAGATTCTAATTAAAAGTCATGTAAAATAATTTTTAAAAAGTAAATCCAAAAATAACAAGCACAACCACATAAAACAATCATGATTATAATTATTATTTTGATTAAAAGAGTAACGCCGACTACAAACTTTGTGATTCATGGTAGTAAACAAATGAAGATTGGTTTGCAAGGAGCTAGTGATCTCCACTTTTACTGGTGAAGTGAGAGTACTCCAATATTATTTATTAGGTAGGTGAGAAGGAACACTCATGGGGTTTGGTTATAACGGTTTAACACTAAGACTAACTAAAATTATGTAAAATACATTTATAGTACATCAAAAAAATATCGAGCACAAACACATTAATCACTAATCATAACAACTGAAACAAATAAACACTTAGACGTAATAAACACTCAACATGTCAGCCATGGTGAAACCGCAGTATACCGATATAACACATGGAAATAGTGTGAGATGGGGGGAAAGCAATGTCTGAAAAATCTCTGTTAAATGTGGCTGAACAAAACAGACTAAATACAAGTTTATCAAAGAACAAAGACCACTTTAGACAAACTATCTTTAACCCGTCACAGGCAACTTTATACCCAATTTAACACATGTAAATGTACATATTCTTTTTTTCTTATAAAACATGAACTATGAATATCTCCAAAGTTAATATGGGCAATGAAACTCGTACATGGGTAATTCCAGGAATTAGGGGTCCATTTTTTTTCATGTCCCTGTCACACATGATTTTGTTACTTCAGAACACATTTGTAATTTACAAGACTGATGAATTAATGCAAATTACCTGCCAAACAAATAGTAATAGTTTGAAATCAATTCCAGTGACATTTCCATGTCAAATAAATAAGGTCCGATGTACAATGTAACAGGAACACAATAATATCACACTTTTGGGCCCCTAATTTCTGGAATTGCCCACATACATGTGTACATTGTAAACCTAGACATGATTTAGGCTTCCATTTTAGTAGTACATGTATTTCGTGATGGTCTCTGTCACCTTCATGACCCTTCATTCCAACCCAACCCCAGAGAGCCCTTTTCACCATCTTGGCTGCTGGATAAAGCTATCTGAACCAGCATTGCTAGTGAAGTAGAGACATTGGTGGCATCCTCCTTGCTATGGCTGTCGTCTCCAGATGGTAAAGGAGATTGCTGAGCCAGTTGGGTCTTCAAAAGCGCAAATGGTTGCCATCAGAAACGGGAAGAGATTCGGAAGCTGGTTTTAGAAGTCCTTGTCATCAGATGGAATTCTTAATCTCATACATACTGCATGTGCCTGGAGACAGGTTACAGCCCACTGTCCCATCCACTTCGGGTACCTGCGGCGCAAATTTTCATTTCTGCCATCAGTCTCACCGCTAGCTCCAGTGGCTGCGAGAAGTTGTACCTCACCATCTGGAGATGACATACACGTACTGCAGATTCATACATACATGTAGTTGTTTGGTCATGCTTGTAATTCCTAACTTCTTGTAACAACAGCTGAATTGTGGTGGTAGAGTGGTTTAGTTCTTACAGATTCATCTCCAACAATGAGTCGTGCACGTTTGGTATTCAGGGAGCAAGGTCGATTGGCATTCACACGAGCGCCGAAACCGCACATCTGCGACAGTCAGCGCCACAGTGTCTGTGTCTTACGACGTGTGAGATTTTGCGGGCTTTCACACAGTGCAGTGCCTAACTGACGTTCCTTGTTTCGCCACGATTGCATCGCTGGTACTTTGCTATGCTTTTAATGTTAGAATCATGCAGTACCTGTGATTTTCCCGCCATGCATTTGCAGGCAATGCGTTCTTCGCGGAATCTGATAGTTCATGTAGTTTATTGCATGTCCGTACGCCGTTCCATTCTGCTAGCCTACATGTACATGTACATGCCAGATTTAGCAGCCCGATCAGAAGAAAGATGCAAAGACCTTCCATTTTTCGACATCACAATTTGGAGTAGCCAACCGCCATTTTTGAAGATGTCAACAAATGGGTGCCGATGCATAATGCGATTCAACTCGACCCTCGCAACGATCACACGCTCTACATTCACACGGCTGATCGTATTACACAAACTTCACATCGATGCAAAGTTTTGGAGGTCTCAATCGCCATGATGATCGCTCCTGAACTGGGCTATAACCGTGCAATTTTCTGACAGAGGTCAACCTTCACACGACACGATATCACTATATCTATAGCGATATCACTATGATTGTAACATCAACGTGATTTCATAGCAAAAGACCTCTGTTATCGGCACTCATGTGAAAAGGCCTCAAGTGAAGGAACAGTGAGACAGGACAAACAGTACAGTGCAACAAAAAACATCAGTTCAAGATAACACACTTTTATTCTGTCATCATTAACAGTTTCATGAATTCTGTCAATGTGTAAATAATAATGCAGAGGTGCAATAACCCACATTCAATCTGAATTCCTGGGATACGCAATCACAATTCCTGGAATATACAATGATCAAAGCAATAAATTTACACTCAATCATAACAAATTATTGAAGCAATCTTCTTTAGATCTTGATTACACAAATTTCCATCAACAAAGTTTTGATGACATAAAGACTCAATGGCTGACAACTGTGCATCGTCGACACCCGTTTCCAAGGAATTGACACTTTGAACACCACACAATAGGGCTTACCTTTTCCAAGAAAGAGTTGACCCATTTGGTGAAGGTTTTTTTCTGTATTTTGATCCGCTCTTCCTGTAAGGCCTGGATGCGACCTTTCTCAAAGGAGGAGGCAGCTTGAGCTGGAGACTGGGTGTTGGCCATCCTTTGTACTAAAAGCCAATGAAAAGTGAAAATGATTTAAAATTATATAATAAATATTTTTTAAATGAATCCTTGCAAAGAGGAAAAGCTGATATCTGTAGCTTATTTTGCTCCTTTGATGAGTGAATGTGTTTGAAAACTTGAAGTCAATTTCTCAGAATCATGGTGACCTTCATCAAATGCAGGAATATCTGTGCAAGAAATCAATGGTAAATTCTTTGAACTTTTAACTCACTGGTCCCTACATAGACCAAGACCACAATGTTGTTATTCTGTATACCACTTTTATTCTGATGCTAAGCAACATTGTACATCTAAATTATACGTACCGGGTACCAGTACACATCATGTCCACGTAACAAATACACTTCATTTTCATTTTAACATTTTTTGTACATGTACATGTAAGTATGCAATTGTCCACATTTAAAATATGAAAGGAAAACCAACATCCAAAACTTTTCTTTGTAATCACATGGGAAAACACTGAATTGTTTTGCAGGATTTCTGCTTTCAACTTCAAGCTCATTAATATGCAGGAAGCCCAAATGTACCAAAATAATATAAATCTTTGGGAAGTTACTTATACAGCAAGTTATACATCTCAATCCCCCTCCCCCACAAATATTAACTCTGGATATGAGTGGAATGATCACGTTACCTGTTGGAAGCAAGGACAACACTCACGACAGAAAGTTCAGCTACGTGTAAAATTCTGACAAGTGATCATAAAATTCTCCACTTACAACTTCAATTACACTAAAAACTACATAACAATACAAATACTTTCATGTGACACACATTCTGAAAACTTCATACTGCTGGCTCCCCCCTCCAATGAACAGCCTGCACAAATTTTCTAACGCCCGTAATCTTGATGAGACAAGTCCGACGTACAGAAGTAATATCAAGATAGCCCCACTAGTGTGGCACGGACTCTCACTCCCGCTCCACTAATGTTAAGATCGTTGACGCAAACGCACCGTTTTAATACCCTCCTGGCAACAGGTACGTAAAGTTAAGTTTGTATGATTTACAAACCTCTTCACTCGTCCTCCCCGACTCTTTGAAATAGCATATCACATTCTTCGATGAAAAGCTTGGTTTAGTCCCGAAATAAAACAGCACTTCATACCCAGAAAACGTACATGTACATGTATGTAAACACTCACGGTTCACACACGCAAGGCTACATGTGCGCGCACAGCAACACTTCTTCAGTTCAATATGGCCGTCAACCAAATTCTTCTGCAGCAACCCCTTTATTATGCAAATTAAGCCCAGGGAACGCTCCAACAGGTGTTTCGCCTACAATCGATACCCAAAGAATTGAAGGCCACATTGTCCCTCGCAAAAATTATAATTAATGCCCGGAAATGACAGCACATAGCTTGTTATCACTCACTTTATGCTACTGTGCGATTTACAGGAACTCTCGCTGCCATAGCAACGTAAAGCGTGAACTGACAGCATGGCAGTGGCATGCGGTGTGCATTCATGTTCAATCAACCGTGGACAAAATAATAATGGACCACTGTGCATACTCACATCGTGAATCATTCACGTATGTGATTGTTTTCAGAATTATTACGAATCTGTTAATGCAATAATAGCTCAATTTGTCCCTTTCATGAATTATTATTTCTTTCGAACCTGATTTCCGGGATATAAAGCAGAAGTCGATCGAGTAACTTCTACCGTGGATGAATAAATAAAACAAGACAAGAAGTGACCTTTGCTTGTATGGCTGCAAGGGCATTTTATTAGATCTGACTCTTTAAAAAACAAGGGTGATGAAAATTGGGTTGTATATTTTTAACTGAAATGTGAATAAAGGGGTCGAATTACCAACTTCAAGACTCGAATGCAGTTTAAAGATTTGGTACAAGTCCCAGAAACGTTTACAGTCACAGTGTATTTTAATTTGGAGAATTTTCATTCGAAAACAAAGAAAACGAAACAGCTATTCTGGACTAAGGTGAACAAGTAGAATTTTATCTCTACGCCAAGATCTTGTATTAACGAAGAAAGAGATGTTAAAATATTTTCTGTGCCTGCAAATTGAGAAGTGGCCCCTAATTTTAATGATGGATATCCACGTTTATTTTGGCTTTTAACCTGCATTGAAAAGTGAAAAATTATGTCGGTAGAGGGCGCCGTTCTCCTTACGGAGACGTATATGTACATGTCTGGAGAAAGCCTCTTCCAGTCTTTTCCAGCACAGTCAGTGGAAAAATACATCGAGGGACACGTTCCTCTTGCAGTAGCGTTTTTTAATTTGTAACTTGCTTGTTTGTTATTTGCTTGTTTGTATTGGTTGGTTGTTGTTTTTTGGATTGTTTTGTTTAGTTTTGTTTTTTGTACTTGAAAGCGTCCACATAAACAGCACTCCAACATTTCTTAGGGGAAAGGATAATTTTACAGATGAAAAAATAGTCGGTTAAGTTCAGAAAAAAATCATTTTGCAGCTCCCCCCCACATCTATGACATAGATATTGCCACTCTGCATAAAATGTTGCAATGCACTAGGAACAGTCTCTGAAAAATCTCTTAATTCCCTTTGCGTGCTTGATAAACTTATCCTTGACACATCCTTTAAGCTTCCAGTTGTAAAATTTAATTGTATTAATGAAATGAAATAATTACGGGCGGGACTAAATTAACTTAGCGTCTAGTTCTTGTTCCATCTCATGAGTGTACCCGTGCATTTTTGTTCAAGCTGTAAAAAAGGAAGTTGTAAATAAGGGGAAATAACAGCAAGAAAACAGCAGAATTTCGTCTCCGAGTTGTTTGTTTCGAGTGCAGAAAGATTCTCCTACCCATACGATTACTGCACTGCAGCTTCTCCCCCTCAACTGAGTATTATGAATGCACTAAAGCTCACAGACTACAAGCAAACCGTGATGCAGTATCCCTCAGTTCATTGGTCGAGTGCACTAACTTACAATGTGCTGGAGCAGTGGTGTGGTAAACATTTTGATAGGGAAGGATCGTGAAAAGGGACATTCAGCATTTGTGGCGTTAGATAAAAAGTGGTGTCGGCCACTGGACCTCACTGAAATCGACAGGCGGCGGGAGGGAATGTTGACACCATATTTTAATGTCGACCTTTGTCAAAGTGGATAGTCTGTCAATTGTCGGATCTCGTCATGGTGACGAATAGGTCTATATGAGAAAAAGATGAAAACTAAAAAAAGCACTCCTGGGAAACATGGCATTATCGGCAAAACAGTATACCTGGCAAAACATTGTGGGGAAACCTTTGCGCTGCTTATGATTAATATTGCTCTGTGTATCCTCTTCCATCCGCAGCATTAAGTGTTTTGAGGTGGACGTAGCTACACGTTATAGTTTTAGACGCGCGCTTGACTTTAGCCTCTCTCCGCCAACCGAATGTTTTGAGTGCTCACAGGCAGGGGCGTGAGCCAGGGTGAAATCTTTTGAGAGGCCGGGGAAACCTGGGGAATGCACACATTACTTGAAGGAGGCGCAGGAAGCAAATGTTTCAACTATAAAGACTATTCATGGGCTGAGTACGTTTCAAAATTTTAATCGGGAGAATGGCAACACGAAGGCCAGATTTCAGAGGGTGGGGGCACGTCACCCGCTCCTTGCCCCCTTCAGCCTATGGTGTTATTTATACATGTTTTCAGACCCCACACAGCAGTATACTCAACTGAAATGTCTCTTGCACTACCACCTGTATCATTGCCCTCTGCAAACAAACTTGCCCCACTATCCTACCAACGAGAAGTTGGGCTCAAACTGTCGCCCGATTGCGCGTCATATTCTATGATCGCTGAACCGTTGCGACACCAGACGAATATAATTATAACGCAATAAATTGCAGACAGCCGGCGTACGGTACCTACGAAGCAGTCCTCATGATTCTGATCGACAAGCTACCCGTATGTCTAGAAAGGAACAGTATGGGAAGCTATTCTACACCTAGGACATCACCAATAGGAGTTGGAGATCACGAGCGCTTGCTCAGACGTGCATAGGTGGTTAAACAACGGGGAAAAAATATCAAATCAGCTACTGTGGGTGAAAAGCCCGCGTACCAGAGCAAAATACATGTACAGGCTGCTGGGAATTCAGCCGTGACGCTATTGCGCTTGTGCAATGTAAAACAAGTGGTGGATGAGCCATATGGAATTTCGTCTGTTCTATATTTCACGTTTCTTTACACAACAATTGCTTGGATATCATCAGATGCAATGCCCGGAGGACTGCTACATAGTTACGTGGTCCATGCAGTAACTGGCCAACGTGTAAATTAGTCATCTTCGGCTGCCCTGAGCCTCAGTGTACGTAATGCACACCTAACGATGTATGTGTGCATTCAACCATGGAGTTTTTTTTATTGCTCCATGATTCAACTAGAATGCAGTCCAGTTGTTATGACAAGCAAGCTACCATGATGTGTTGAAGGCACAACCAAAGCAACCGTTCAACCCGCACATCTTCCACCCGAGAATTAATTTCATACGCGTTTATGCGAACATGGCGGAAATTTTAATCCGTGCAACGAAATAATAAGTTAACGTCGAACAATGACTGAACACGGTTCATCGACATCATTATTTGTAAGTGAGCGGTCAAAGTTTACGGCAAGCAAATATTTACACAGTTGGGTCTACAAATACACCAAACGAGTTGTGTATACGGTAAAAAGAAACGGACATAATCTTAAAACTAAAAAACTGGCATTTCTATGCACCCGACACTCGCACAGCATCACGAGAGAACTACTGCCGAGCCAACTGTTACATGTTTGAAATGATGTGACAGTGACACTTTTGCAGATGTGTGGTGATGTTCCTGTTCAGAGTCCGGATTGGTTGTAGCTGACGCAGCAATGGACGTGTCAGAGCCGCTGTCATCAAAGGAACATTATGGCTGTTCCTTTGACGATTTGCTTTCTGAGCATAGAACCTCACTCCTTTCCCAGGTTGACTCGCTCAGGTCCGTGGTGCAAAAGTTTGACGAGAAGTGCCGCAGCCACTTGAGCAGCTGGAGAGAGCACAGGAGGCGCTCCGACGGCGACGCGAGCACGTGGGGTTGGCACTCCCTCAGCCGGGCCGTGGACATTGGGTTAGAGTGGACGACGACGTCCGGAAGCGACACGGACGAGAGCGTGGTCGAGGTTTGCGCTGCAACTCGAAAGATGCGCCAAACCAGAGGTACACAGACTAACTTGACCAGATGCTCGTGTCAGAGAAAAGCACTAAACCACCACCACACCGGCGCAGAGGTTTCTATGAGGGATGTTGCAATTCAGACGGTAGATCATGGATTCTTGGGAAACAGTACTGATCAACTCGAAAAGAAAATTGCGAGCAAACAACTGTTAGGGGTTCTAGAAGTCCTGGCAATGCAGCGAAGAAAGAATGGCCGACACCGGTCCTCCGTCAGGAAAACATCGCAAAACATGCCTGTTGACTGGAGGAGTAAAGGTAGCAATTTGAGCATCTTGGAACTCAGAAGTGCACAGCAAACCGCGCTAAGTTGCTTGCAAGACTCATTTCACAACCAGGTAACAGTTGATGAGCGAAACCTGTACACAGAAGCAGACGAGGAGATGGTCGGTAACGAAAATGAAAATCAAAAAGTGAGGAAACCTAAGCGGAGAAAAATACACCCCGACGGATCTGAAGTTGAGGACGACTGCGGTGCTTACCGTGAGGACAGCCATGGCATTTATCAAGATTCGGCAACTGACAAAACAGATTTGTATGCACTGGATGACACAAGTTACCACACCGTAGATGATTTGTGGAGACTGGCGGAGGAGGGCAGACTACCCTGGACTTGCGATTTGATCAAGACACCTTCAATGTCAAAGGGGAGAGACGATGACGTCAGCCCATCATCCTCGACGAGACTGCTCTACTGCTGTGAGAGGAGCAGTTTGTTTGGACCACCTCGAATCTTTAGGAGGTGCAAACCACGACGAAATTGCCTTCCACCGTGGAGATGGATCTCTGTCCCACCAATCCTTGGAGTAATTCAGGAGCATTGATTTACTGAGAGAGCCGTAATCCATTGCAGTCGGTCTTATGTTTAGAAAATTATTCTTTTCTCTTCTGAGCCCCTATTTTGATGTAGTATGGCTAAACTTTAAGATGCCAGTATGGCAACCTCCTTCTAGGCAACAGAAAAGGTGTCAACTAGCTAGAGGACTTCGTTCGTTATCTTAATGAAAACAGAACATCACATACTACACTTATCCTTGTCAAGGATTTGAAAATCACATGTGCAGGTAAAAACAAACCAAATCATTTTAAACAGACCTACCCTTTAACCTGCCTGTGAAACGTTATTCACTGTTATCATTTTCCTTAACAGGTACATGATAGCACGGGCATACATCGCGGGCCTTACTATGTGTAGCCTTCTCTGTATTGTTTTGCCCTTTAAATAACTCTACATTTGCTAGTGAAAAAATTCAAATTTGTTTCATTAATTTAAAGATTGCGTACTTTAAAGTGCATGTAATGCAACAACCAGATTTAGAAGCCACTACTGCAGTGGCACAACGCTTGCGCACAGGTGGGACGCGTGCGTTACATGCCTCTTCGACCAATAGGGTGTGACGATTTGCCAAAACACGTTCGCATCAAGCTTAATGAACGCACTTGTGAGAGCGATGCAGGTAAGTTTAATGTATCCCCAGATTAGTATATTTGACTGCATTTGGTCAACTTCACAAAATGTGAAGTCATTTGACAGTGAAACCTCCTCAAAGCCAAGTGCCTGGACACGTGACCAGCCCCGCATACATGTAAAAATTAATCTTTGTTTGCATCTGTTTAGAATTACATTTTCCCTATAAATACCATACCGTAACATGCTTACATTTCCATAATATCACTCTTATATTTTGTCTCCTTTCAGCCATAATATTTGACGGAATCACTAATTGGAAGCAATGCTTGTTTTGTATTGTTAGTTGGCAAGAAGAATTGCAAGGCAAGTGGTGAAAAAGGTGTGATAAAGAGTGATGGTTTGCTTCTCATATTTTGTAATAACTGTAAATGCAAGAACCGATCTATTTTTGTGATATACCCATGATGAAAAGTGGTTATTAAAGCCTAGATTTTAGACTATGTCGTTGTTTAGATCATTTAAAACAATGAAAAGTCTTTTTAAAAATTATACCCGTACCTCCCATCATGCATCGTCTTGGCACGCACACAGAAATCGTATGCAGTCAACCCTATGATCAATAACTTGGGTTCAATTCTTAATGAAATCTTTTTGAACTTTCGAAGGGATGGGGTATTAGTTGTTGGCTTCGTTCATACTTTTGGGAGGAAGAGAATTCATTAATTTTGAGGAAACATCCCCCAATCGCTTTTCTGTCATACTAAAAACAAAGAAATCCCTTTTCGGGGGGGGGGCCGCTGTTCCCTGAACCTCCCGAATCTTCCAATGTACCGGGAGAACTCGGCCATTTCATTTGAAATTGCAGAAGTCCGAAGTTCAAGAGCTGGGCTATATTGACCCATCTCACAGCTGGAGGGGGCCGGGCCGATTTCGCTCCCCTAAACACTCCGTGCAGCGCCCAATTTTAAAAAAACTTTGCATGCGTATACAAGCGCGTTCATTCGTTTAGAAAAGTGTGTGTGGGGGGAGCATAGCTCTGATCAGAACAAATGCGAGTGCGAAGCCCTGAGCCGCGTGCGGTCTGGGGCCGCTCAAGGGCCCCGGAAATTTTTGGAGTAAAGATGCTCTATGGTGTGATTTGAGAAAATTTCTGACTACTTTAGCCATTGTTTGTTTTAAATGCTTTTTCAAGGTAAACATTTTCATTTAAGTTTTGGGAAAAAAAATGTGTGGGGGCAATTGATATGATATTCCCATTTTTCCGGGGGGGGGGCGCATGGCTCCCCGTCACCACAGATCGACGCCCATGCATATACAGACACTCCTTATCGTTACAAATGTGAAGCTTGAACTCAATCAGACGTATGGTTTTGTTGTTTCAGTCATTTGAAGTTCAAAGCTACATGCCTGCCAGAACGCGTGCATAAACTTTTAATGGCTCAAGTTCTGAAAAACAATGCACTACGGCGATATCGGGAAAAATGTTGAGGAGGGGGCGGTTCCGCCCCTGGCTCTTAATCTTTTAGGTTAATCATTATGAAAGGCATGACAATAATTGCCCCCTCTTTGCCTCCCCTGACCTATTTCAACAATGAATCAGCCCTTGCAGAGCTTTGACCCCCCTATTCAATTAAAGTTTTGGAAGAAAGCCAGAACAGTGCATTCCTTGTAACGGTGACTGAGGAATTTACTTTCGCTGACAAAATTAATTTTTAGAGCTGATTCACCGTGGTGGTGGCCCCTCGCATCGCACGATCTAAGGCGAATAGCGCCATCTATAGTTTATATTAATATGGTCTGGTCCCAGGAGTTGATTTGTTGAATATTCGAGTACGAATGTTTAGGTTTTCAGATTTCCAAATACCTGAGCAAGAGGAATGTCAATTGTCATGAAACCTCCTTTGAACATGACCACCGACGTTAACAGAACTTCCCAAATGGCAACAGAACAAACCAGTGATATCAGGTATTTAACATAATGTTTACTAAATTTGGATTTATATAGAGGTAAATCATAAACAAACCACCGTCAACAGCATAAACCACATGCTCATATGACCTGACTGTCACGGTGCTGGTCAACCTCGTTTATCATGTTGTCATGGTGCCTCGCCTGTAATTTAATAAAACTTAAAAGTATGGTTGCACGTAGCACAGGCCATAGAGGCCCTACAAAAATTGTACTCAAATTACTGGGTTAAGATGCTTAAATTCACGAGAAGTGTGAAGTAAAATCTTTAATCCACTACTTTGCATTTTTGGATATACATGTAGGGTTCCTTTTTCGATCACCACAATTTGCACAATTAATATTTGTGAGGTTGAATTAGAATTGTCAATGACCCAGTCATTCAATTGACTTTGTTCCATGGTGGTACAGATGTTTTCAAAGAGGGCAGCAAACGTTGACAGTACATGTAGTGACATTGTTGCCCTCAATAGACATGATTGAGTATCGAAGTGAACTTGCCTCACATAATCATAAGTAGGTGTGCGAAAGGCATCAGCATGAGCTCAACTGAACCAACTTTACAGTCACACATCACTACACATCTCAGTTCAACCAATGTCACACTTCGGTAGGCTACGTGTACCATATCTGTAGGCCTGAGTTTTATTAGGTTGGAGACCAACGCTAAATCCAGTGACGTCACCAGATTGTACATCATCAAGCGATCATGATACAACTGTTTTGGTCATTTTTAGATCGTGGCTTTTGGATGACTTTGGTCATCTAAAAATTGCAATAATTCTTCAAGTGTACACTGCATGTGTAACCCAGCATCCAATATTTACATTACATTTCTTCCATATTGGTTTTCTGAAAACATGTTGTGAAGATTTCTAGACCATAACTTTCCTGGCAGTGTTGCAGTTCTTATCAGTGTACGAGCCAGTTCTGCTGGCATTTTTTTTGTTTTGGCCCCAAAAATCATTGAAATGTAGTCACCCGCCTTTTTGGGAGAAAGGGTGGTCAAGGATTTTTTTCTCAAGAACAGTAGATTGTTTTTACAATTCAATAGTTGTGTGTATATTGTAAGTGGTTTGTTCTGAAGGTGGTGCTAGCTGCTCACCCGGTGGGAGGGGGGTAGGATCTTGTCCTTCCAGGTCCACCTTTGGGCATAGCCTTTAATATGCCAAGTACATGTAATTTTCAAATATCACCCCCCTTTCTTGCCCTGCACAAGACAAGGAGATTGCCATTTTCAAAGTATGCCTCAACCCCACAAATGTGAAAAGGGTTTAATTTCATCATAAATTTTGTTTAGTCTTTTTTTGTCAGTAACATTTGTGTTTGTGTTCAGTTATAAATACAGAAGTGCTGCTGCTATTTGAACTAAACTTTTCAAATGTTTCACTCGATCTGCTTTAGACTTAATGGTTTACTTTTCAAGAAATGTAAAAAGGGAAATGAATGAAATTAAAACAACATTCTACTCGCCAGTGAATCAGTTGATGTATGCTGATCACTGAAAAATGTTGAACTGAACAACATGCCTGAACATGTACATTGCAAAACCTATTCATCTGCATATCTTGACTAGTGCATGTACATGGTAATCTTGACTGTGGAGCTGTGATGAGTCGCTGAACAACCTGAGGCTAGCTGCAACAAGAAGTATTTTACTCAAGTTCTTTTAGAAAAGAATGTGTCTTCTGCCATCCACTACTTGTGCATGTACATGTATGCAGAGGCTCTTGCCTGATCCTGTCTTGGTGTTGTGTTTCCCCATCCACTATGCAGACGGTCAGCCTGACTTTTATCTAGGACTTCTCTGGATATAATATATTTCATGGAAATTAAATTTGTTGAGTGTATGTCCTTGTCAGAAGTTTTGTTTTAAATGGATATTCTCCCCCCCCCCCGTTGCTTTAGAATTTTGTTGTGTGTGTGTGTGCTTAATCTGTTTATGATTTAAATATTCATTGTACTATGATGTCATTAATTTGCATTTAAAAAGGTATTAGGCTCCAGCTCAAAGACCATGTATCTCAGTGCACATGTACACACTGAGTGGAATCTTAGCAATTTGGTGTGGTCTTTTGATTGTGTGCAGTGAAGGGTGAGTTGGTGGCTGTACATGTGCATTGAGTGTATGGGTATGCCTTGCATACAGCAGCTTTGTTGTACCCAGTTCCCTTTTAGCACGCCCAGAAGAGTCGTGTGCCATTTGTTTCCAGTCATTTACATGTAGCTTGCTTGCCAAACCTTTTTCTGAGAGTAGACCTCAAAGATTGCCTACACTTTGGAATGGTGACTGACAGCAGGCAAGCTGAGAGACCACAATCTAGAAGTCTTTTCCTGGTTGCACATTGCAAACAGAAGAACTTGGTCTGATTCCTCCATGGTCTGATAGAGATGCTGCATTCCTTGACTGTTGGTGGTATACATGTATCTGATGAGAACATACATGTAACAACTCACACCCAGTGGACACCAGAGCCAGCTCAAGGCTAAGATAAAGTATTGTCTAACATATAAGCTATAATTTAGCCTCAGTGGCATTATCTAGCCTTCTTGACATATTTTAGTCTTAGTGGCATAAGCATAATTTAGCTCTTGTTGCATTATTTAGCCTTAGTGGTACATGTATAAATGTACATGTACTGGTATATGCATTACATGATGTACATGTGTACATATAAGTGGTGAATGTAGTGTTAAGCCTTAGTACCTAGCTCTATGGTTGCTCCATGCACAGAGCAAGGACACAGAAGCCTAAGTGGCACGCATTCTGTCTCTGTGGCTTATTTTGAAGTGGGATGCTGACAGTTGCCTTTCCCACATGTTTTTTTGTGAGTGCAACAGAAACTTTGTTGATTTATATTTCAATTAGATATATTAATCAAATTTTGTGTACCTTTGTTCCCGGGTTTCATTGTTTGGTAATTGAGAGTGTGAATCGAGAATTCATTCGATTTGTGTAATTTGTCCACTTTGAAACTCAATGTTGTAATGTTGTAAGGTTTTACACAGGCCTACATGTTGAACATGAGGGAAACTTGTGACTGGAAATGAACAATTTCGCCAAGAGAGTAATATGTTTGAGTTCCTGTACTGATTCAATTCTAACACTTGTTGGCTAGCATTGTTGTTTTCTTGCTTCTGTTCCGTTCGTTGCACTTATTAAGATGGACCGGTGCACACCACCTGAATACTACTGGCAATTTACATGTGCAGGCAGATGGATCCGATACCGGTCTGAATCAGGATCTTGAACTGCCAGCAAGTGATATGTTGCAGTGAGAACAGTGAAATGTAACTCGTGGGACCAAAACGGGGAGGACAGAGGAGAGTTTTCTTTTTCCATCCAGCATGGAGATGGTTCAACCTTACTCAACCCAGTGTAGCTATGGGAAGTACATGTACTCATATCCATAGCTTTTTGACAGATCAGTGAATGGTAGACGCTAGCTCCAATTCTCCATTGGTGACCAGCAAAGGCCCTGTAATAGAATACAGGAGACAGCGTTACATGTACTGTACATTGACTGGCAATACTTCATGTCCAAAAAAGCTCTTTACGTCAACCTACAGCACCACAGGTCTTCCAGAATATAAAATTGCTTCTATTTCTCCAGAAAATTGAAGTCACTGTTTTAAATGTGAGTTCATGAGTGTTTTGAATTAATGAAACTCAACTGTTTTGTCAGTGTAAAGCAATTCTGTAATGTAGTAAATGAAATTTGTAGTGAAAGTATTTGAGAAATACAAAGGTCAAAATACATGTACGTATTTGTAACAAGAACTCGTTTCAATTTAAAATAGGATGGAAGATTATGCTGTAAACTTAATAAAGTACAGTATAATGAAACGGGTCAGTTGAGTACTGTGTTTATTTTGTTTAATGTTTAATGAAAATGCAGATACATGTACATCCAAAAATGTATATTTAAAAGCAATCAGCTAAGATGAACAAAGATATTGACTTTGTTAATTCTTGTGGAAGTATCTAATCTGACTCTTTTGAAGGAATGGTATAGAAATCTCAGACGAGGGATGTTCTTAGATACATATACAACTGTCATTTTACATTTGAACGTTTTACTTTTATACCATATTAGTTTTGCATTAATGTTGTTTACCTCAAAAATGGATGAATTCAATTGTAAATTTACATGGCTGTATTCAGGTTTGGAAAATCAAATGTACAGTGTAGTTGTCATTACAAACAGTTCATGACCAGTCTCTACATTTCAGTTCCCATGAAATGAACCACTGCAAAGACTACATCAAGCTCAGTCCATCTTGAGATGATTTTGAGTTTGAAGGGAGCTGCAGTAATCCGAGTCCACATCTCTGATCATACGAAAAGGAACATGTTTGCCCCCCATCCAGTATGCAGACGATTCAACCCACCCCAAGCACAGTGGAGCTACCAGCTTCAAAGCCATTTTAGAAGCGAGTGTGCAGGACCCTAACCCTTATCTTCCAGAAGTCCCTCAAATGGTGTTGTACTGGTACCAAAATAACGAGGATGGTGCTCCACATCTACTATGGGACCACATGTCCGGTGAAGCCCTCTGTAGCAAAAATTAAGAACATGTACCAGAGATTTAGCTGATCACATTTAAATGACCTTTTCAGATTTGCATTCACAAACATTTTATTTCATGACACTTGTGGAAACAGGTGAATGTGATTAAAGAAGCTTGTTACCATTTGGTAAGTTTTGGAAAATTTTACCTTGTACATATACTAATGCATGTAGATGCATTCTTTCAGTTCTGCATTTAAATACCTGTACTAGTGAAGAAAGATTTTGTTATGGGTGGTTACGTATGCTATCATTGGATTTTGTGACAAGTTCTCAAAGACCATTTCCTCTAAAGTGTACCTCAGTCGGGCACCGTGGTGTTTTATTGAAACTTTGCCACAGAGTGGTTGATGTTAGCTGATGATGGGTAGCAGTGACCAGTCCTGTGTTTATTGAGGCACCACCAGACTCTTTGCTGCCGCACTTTACACTGGACTTTGGTACATGTGTTGGTATTCGTCCATGTGCTCTGTGCTGTGCTTTACCATTCAGTGTCTTTTTCAAGAACTGTTGTACCAAATGCAATAAATTTTCTAATCATTTGATGAAGACCTACTTGTGTTACTGTGTGACTTGAATTAGTGCATACCATAGAGCAAGTGTAGACTCGCTTGATGAATTCCCTAAATTGCTGTGTGGCTAACTAAGATGTCGATTGGGTATTGGTTCATTGCTTTACAGTTGAATATTTTTGATAGTGCAATGTGTGTATGTAAGGCCTGTGTCTCATAAAAAAAGGTTTTTGAAATTCTTGCACAGCCATCTTGCGTTTGTTTCGTTCTTTTGGTTGTTATTACTTGCTTCTACGTCACAACGTTTTGGCGACAAGGATTGAGGACCATGGCATCTGGAAGGTTTGCTGGCATACTTCACCCCTCTCCTTTTCTGCAAAACCCTGGTGAACCCTCGGTGATATGGACGCAGTGGATTAGTTTGTTCTAAAGCTACATAACTTCAATTGGTGGTGACGATGACTTCAGTCCATCACGGAAGAAGGCCCTAATTCTGTATTGCCTGAGTGTTGAAGGTCAGAGAATCTTTTCTACGTTACCGGGTTTTACTGACTCTCCTCCAGAAGGACATTAGAAACATTGTTCCAAGAGACCTTACAGGAGTAATTGTAAACTTGACTCATTAATTACATCTGGGCATCACTTGTACTAAGCAACACCTGACAGAACTGTATTGGTGGCCCAAAATGGACAGGCAAGTGGAAACCATTGTGAAGAATTGTGTTACTTGCCAATACCATGACAAAAGCATCAAACAGAGGTTTGTTCCACTACTCCCAGTGCAATATCCAGAAAGGCCATGGACTAAAGTTGCAAAAGATATTGTTGAACCTTTTAATCAAGCTCCAAACTATTGTAAATATGCCATTACTTTGATCAATTAATATAACCACCGGCACAGTGATAGCAGTTTAAAAAATAATTATTAGTCCAGAAAGATATCCCGATGAACTCGTCTCGGATAATGGAGTGCAATTTAAATCCGAAGATTTCAATTTTTTGGATTTGAGATGTACATGTATTAGGGATACTTTTTGTCTGTGTTATCCGCAAAGGAACGGTGCAATGGAACATTTCCATGCTGTGGTGAAAAACACAGTCCAAACTGCAGTCATTTCAAATAAGTCTTGGAAAACAGCAATGTATGAGTTTCTCACTGTGTATAGAGCCATTGCTCATGTAACAACTGGCATAGCACCTTCAGTTCTGGTACATGGAAGACAAATTATAACAGGTTTAGATATTATGGGATGGAAAATGAATAAGAACGTGAAAGCAACTAAACAGGTTGACAAAAGAACAAGGTAAAAAGGGCAGCAGTACACTGATCAGAAGAAAAAAGCAAAAGAAGTGCAATTTTGTTTAGGACATCGGGTATGAGTTAGAAAACCTGGTATTATACCCCAAGGCAAATTGCAGGACTGTGAAGCCATTCAAATTGTAAGGAAACTGAGTACTCGTACGTATCAAACAAGTGATGGGAGAAGATGGAACGTGAATAAGTTGATTTGGGCCAAACCAATTAGTGAATCCATTAATGATCCAGTAGTTAGGGATTTTGTTCCAGTTGCAGAAAGTCAGGATAAGGAAGAAAAACCAACTGATTCTAAGAAAAAACATACAGATGTACTAGAGGTTAAGGAAAATGAACTAAGACTTAGTAAGAGGGTAAAACAGTTGCCTGTATGGTCCAAGAATTATTGAATGTATTAGTGATGTGATGAAATGTTATAAGATTAAAATTATTGTTGATTGCAAGTTACGTGTTGAAATGTTTATCTAGTTACCAGTAGTAAATTGTGTAAATGAACATATCATTTACAGTTTTGTATTTATATTGATTATGCTATGTTGTTCAAGTCATGTTGAAATTATAAATAAAAATAAAAAACCAAAGAGGAAAATGTGGTATTGTGTGATTTGAATACCTATATACATTACCATGGAGAAAGGGTAGACTCACATGACAAATTCCTGAAATTGTTATGCGGCTAACTAAGATGCTGATTTGGTATTGGTTCATTGCTTTACCGTTGAATGATTTTGATAGTGCAATGTGTGTATGTGAGGGTTTGTCTCGTAATAAAAGGCTGTTGAAGTCTGTCACACATCACAGCCATCTTGAGTTTGTTCCATTCTTTTGGTTGTTATTACTTGCTTCTACCATGGAGCTTATTAACCCTCCTATGCAAAGATACATTCTTGACACTGTTGTCATATCAGTCAAAATTAGTCAAATTTCCCATATGTGTCTGTGTATTGGGGCAAATCTAGTGCAAGGAATATTTTGCTGTTTTTGACAGTTACAGTAGAAGGAGGGTTAAACACAAGGAGTTGGAACGAAGTCCCTACAGACCGCAATCTTATTAACTGCTCTGGTTGGGTCCATATACAAAGTGCAGTTACCGGCCCCA